GGAGCTTCGTGATCCTTGGGGTCCCTTCCAACCCAACCATTCTGTGATTCTGCACTTCAAAAGAAGATGTTTCCTCCTGTGCAGTGAACAGTGGGGACCAGGGCATTGGTGGCGACCATTAGGTTGGGCAAGAGCTCTGATGCTGGGAAGGAAAGATTGGGAAACATTTACTTGTGGTTGGCAAGGTGCTTCCTTTGGTGAGTGCAGGAAGAGGAGTAAGCTTTGCAGTCCTGTTTTCTGAAGTTTTTGTAGTGATTTCTGTAGCATACCTCTTGTTCTGTGGTTCTTCACATGGAGCAGCCTATCCCTTCATCTCCAGCAGGAAGGTGCTACCTAATGCACTGCTCTGTAAGTAAGGCAGTGGAAATAAACATTTAATAGAGGATGGATACAGGGAATTGCTGTTCACAGAGCCATAGGATGGCCTGAGAGTTGCAAAGGAGCACAGTGCTCATCTGGTTCCAACCTCCTGCTATGTGCAGGGTCACCAACCAGCAGCCCAGGCTGCCCAGAGCCACATTCAGCCTGTTTTGGCTGATATCTGTGGCATGGAGGGAAAGTAGCCTGTAGTTCAATTTATTGCAGAGTTTCTCCTTGCTGGGTACAGAAAGAAGAGCCCTGGGCTGAGGAGGTGCAGGTTGCCCTGTGCTGGAGGCAGCCCCAGCCTGCAGGGTGAGTGCTTTGTGCTTTTCCCATAGGAAGCCTTCTGTTCCCTGTGACCTCCGTGTCCTCTGGCAGCACAAAGCACGTTATTCTTCTCATGGGAATGCAAATGGAGAATAGGAACTTGTGTGAGAGCTGATTGTGTAGCGTTTCTATGAAGGAGGTTTGTGTCTTGGGCAATGTTTCTTGCTTTCCCATCTCTGAAGTCCTCAGAAGCGTTTGGTTCCTGGCCCTCTCTCTGCAGGAGAACTCACACATCAGTGGTCAGAATCGCTGCAGAGTGTGGAAAACGTGGAGTGTTCCCCTCTTTCTTATCCCTTTGCTGAGACCAGGATGCTTTGGGCTGGGATGTGAGTGCTCCAGCAGCAGCTGCACTGCTCCTTCCACTGAAGGGACCAGAGGGTGACAGCATCCAGCACTGCAGGGAGAGAGATGGGGAGACCTGTGCAGGTGGAGCGCAGATGGAAGCTCAGGCAATAAACTCTTATCACTGATCATCTCTCTGGCTTCAGGTGCTCTGCAGGAGTTCCTGCAGCTGTGTGTGTGTCCCTGGAGGACATACAGGTGCTGCTGTGTGCAGGAGGTGGCACAGGGCTGGTAGAGGGCTTCTCCTCACTGGGTGCTGTTCTGTGGCTCAGGGTCTCACTGCACCCTGCATCAGGTCTGTTTTCCCTTGTGTGCCAGAAGGCTCCTGATGTGCTCTGGCTGCCTTTGTCTCAAGCAGCATCAGTGCTGCTGTCTCCTCTTATTTTGTGCAACTTTGAAGTTTATAACTAATGCCTCTGCAGATGGAAGCTGCTTGGAAGTCCATGCTGGATTGATGGATCTGATCTCCTGGATGCCCATCCTGCCTCTGTGTGCTTACAGAGCAGCTGTTGGTGGTCTGGTGGCAACAGCCCAGAGCAACCAGGGTACTTCTATGCATCTCTGTTCTTAGTAAACCTTCTTTCATAGGATCACAGAACAGCCTGGGTTGCAAAGGAGCACAATGCTCATCCAGCTCCAACCCCTGCTGTGTGCAGGTCGCCAACCAGCAGCCCAGGCTGCCCAGAGCCACATCCAGCCTGGCCTTGAATGCCTGCAGGGCTGGGGCATCCACAGCCTCCTTGGGCAACCTGTGCCAGTGTTGGCAAATAAATAGCAATTAAATTCAACTTCAGTTTCCTGTACTCTGTCTCCCTGTGCCCCCATCTCTTGTAACTGAAGGGGGCGAGGGGCACAGTGTGCTGTATGGCAAGGCCTTAAGGAATCACAGAATGGTTGGGTTGGAAGGGACCTCAAGGATCACGAAGCTCCAACCCCCCACCAATGCAGGGCCACCAACCTCCCCATTGCACAGCAGCCCAGGCTGCCCAGGGCCCCATCCAACCTGGCCTCCAACACCTCCAGGGATGGACGGGGCATCACAGCCTCTCTGGGCAGCTGTTCCAGCCCCTCACTGCTCTCATAATAAAGAACTTAAGCAGTTGTCCTGCTGCTGTTTGCTGCTATTCAGACCTTGTCTTGGATTTGCAGTCATGCAAAAAAAACAACACAGAAAGTCCTCAGAACAGATTCTGTTTTAATAGTTGTCCTTGCATCGGGTTTTATTTGAACGATTCCTGCTTTTATCCTTGTGAGCACTGCTGTTGTGCAAAGCTGAAGAGATTTCAAAATGGGGTGTTGGGCTCTCAAACAATCAGTAAGCAAATATTGGATGTGGAACACCTGAATTTTCTTGTTAATGCTGATGTTTCACAGCAGGTGAGGCAAGTGAATACTGCCTTTTCCTCTTTGCATTTGGTAGAAGCTGTTCCAGTGCAGTGCTGGTAGCCAGAATCGCTGTTGGGAAGCTGTGCATGCGTGGTGTTTTTTGTTGCAGGTAAGTGTTGGTCCCAAGCTGGGTTAAATGAGCAGCCCAGAGCAGCCAGCCAGCCCTACAGCAAGGCCCTGTTTGCTCAGCCATTTCTTTCTAGGTTACAAAGGCATCCAAACCTTTCTGGATAACCTACCCTGCAATTGGGGCAGGCTCTGTTTGTGAGTCCCAGCTTGGTGCCGTGTAGCTCCAGCCACGTTCAGGATGAGAAGGATCCCCAGTGAGATGAAGTTTTGGGTCCAGTTGACTTTTTTGTCATTTCCTTTCCAGTTCCATCAACGCAGACTGAGTTTCCAGTGCAGGTACTGCTGGATATTCAGCAGGCAAACGTGTCTAATAACCCCTTACAGTGTATGAATAACCCTACGTGGATTCCCTGCCTGTAAACCTCCCCAGCCTCTTGTGTTGTTTCCATCGAGGATGATGAAATGAGTTCAAAATGCTGGATGAGCAGAAGCTTTAAGCCTGTATTTAGGCCTTGCATTGAGCTGTGTGGAGCAACCACGAATAGCATCTTGGTGTGGTCGGAGTGACTTATCTGCCATGCTTTGGGTCTCCTGTTGCTCTCAGGAGGCTGGGAAATGTCATCATTTCCTCTCAGATAAAAGTACAGCTCTTGGGCGCTCGCAGCTTTGAACTGCAGGAAAATGTGTCCTGCGTTCAGGGCTTCCCTTCTGGGTGCACTGCTGTGAGCCACATGCTTTGCATTCAGCCCCTGCAGAGACAGAGGAAACAGTTTGAGGACAGGTTTGTTTGCTTCACCTTTTCTAGAAAGCCACTGTTTTTAGGGCTTTTGATGTTGTGTGCTTTATTCTTGGTGAATGAGAGCTCACTGACCAGTTCTGACATGGCAGTTTGGGTTGCACTTGGTAGACATGGTCAAAATGCACTGACAGGAGGCGTCTGCACTGGGTACCTTGTTGTGCAGTGTACTCTGGCTCAGCCTTATGCATTGTGGCTACTTATGCTTTCCCCTCCTCCCTCCTTCATCTTCCCCCAAGCAAAAATAACTTTCTTTAGATTGTCTGAGCTGTAAAAGCTGTGCTAATCCCTTTGTTGTATGTCAGAGCCCTCATGCTGGAGGTGCTCAGTGTCCAGGAGCCCTTCCCTGGGAGTGCTGTCACAGCTATAGCCTCGGTCCTCCTTTTCTCACTGGCATTTTGGCACCTCCTTGGAGTGCTGCTGAATTCTTTCACTGCTAGCCTCCTTTCCATCCATCCATCCATCCATCCATCCATCCATCCATCCATCCATCCATCGCTGCTGCCGCCCTTCCTTCCTAGCTCTGCTGCTGCAGCTCATGGCAGCTGTGCTCATCCTTAGATTTTCTGCCCTTTCTTCTACACAAAGCCCAATAATTTGATCCAGCTGCCTCTGGGCTCATACAAACTCTCCCTTTCTTCTGAGGAGCTGCAAAGGTTTCCAAAGCAGGTAATGTTTATGTCAATGGTAACGTTTGTTTTCATTTTCCTTTTGACCTTTTTCCCTCTCTGTTTGTAGGAGGATACAGTGCCTTGGAGGTGCTGCACATGCTGGATCTGCTTGGCTCCCTGATGTGCCTGGGGATGGCAGCTAGGTGACAGAGGTTGAGGATGACCCTGACTGAAAAGCTGCGTGAGAGGATATCGCGGGCCTTCTACAACCACGGGCTGCTGTGTGCTTCCTACCCCATCCCCATCATCCTCTTCACTGGCCTCTGCATTTTGGCCTGCTGGTGAGTCCTGCCAAGTCCTGCTTGGCCTAGGCTGCTGCTCTGGGGGAGCATTCATAGCCAGGTTTCATCTTTCTGTGTGGGATAAAAGAAGAGAGGGAACGAAGCATCTCCATCCGATTTCCTAACTAAATAGGAAGTGAAGCTGTACCTGAAGTGCTGGGTCCAGCTCTGGATCTGGGCGTGCTGAGGAGAATCCAGCACAGGGCCACCAAGCTGCTGCAGGGCCTGGGGCAGCTGTGCTGGGAGGAGAGGCTGAGAGGCTGGGGCTGCCCAGCCTGGAGCAGGGGAGGCTCAGGGGATCCATCATGGCCATAAATCCCTGCAGGAGCTGCAAGGGGACGAGGCTGGGCTCTGCTCACTGGTGCTGGTGCCAGACTCAGAGGCAAACAGGCACATACTGGAGCACAAATGGTTCTGTTTGAACATAAGAAAATGCTTTTTACTGTGAAGGTATTGAATCATTGGAGCAGGTGTCCCAGATTGCTTGTGGAGTCTCCTTCTTGGAATCATAGAATGGCTTGGGCTGGAAGGAACCCTGAGGAGCATCAAGCCCCAACCCCACTGCTGCATGCAGGGCCACCAACTCCCCATTGCACAGCAGCCCAGGCTGCCCAGGGCCCCATCCAACCTGGCCTCCAACACCTCCAGGGATGGACGGGGCATCACAGCCTCTCTGGGCAGCTGTTCCAGCCCCTCACTGCTCTCACAGCACACAACTTCCCCCTCATGTCCAACCTTCTGGAAGCAGAAGCTGCCTGCACGTGGCCCTTTGCCTCCGTGGCTGACCTTACTTTTGCTGCTGTAGCCTTGCTGACTACCCTCAGCTCTCAGGAATTGTCTGTGGGCCTTTTTTGATCTGTGAAGTTTAGGAAGCAGCTGTGGAATGCTGTGTGATAAACAGGAGTTGTTTTCAGGAGCTCCTTTAGCTTTCTCCAGTGTAAGAGCTGTGTTGATTTATCGAGGTATCTGGAGTGCTTCCCTGTTGTGCTTCCTTCCTGACAGGTCACCTTCTGCATTTTCAAGTTGAAAAAGGAAGTGGTGCTGGAGGAAGCACACATACTCTCATGTCATTTGAGGGCAAGGAACTCCTGTTTTCTTGGGGCTGAGTAGCTTTGCAGGTGCAATCTATGCATTGTTTCTGCACTTAAAACAAGAAATAAAGCTTATATTGACATCCACCTACAATGCAATGAGGCCACGTTAACTGCTGTATTGTTTCAGGCTCCTTGGCTTGAGCTAGAATTGGTTTGTATTCTTGCCTTAGCTCCAGGTCAGGGGCTCCTCTACAAGGAGCATCTCATAAATACAAGTACAAGAGGCAGCTCCTCCTTGTTTGCTCTATGTGGAATAATCTGATCTCTGTGGTGTGTGGGTGCACACAGTTGTTAGCTCTGTGGCCAGCACAAATGCAGCTGTTGAAAGCTCATTCCCTAGCAAATGGGTAAGGACTGTGAGGGTGAGAACCTGGAGCAAGGTGGTCATTAGCTTTTCAGAATGCCAAACTAAAGACTGTAATTTCTTTTCTTAATCAGAATGCCTGATTGTATGAAATGGTGCCAAATAATAGGAGCAAAAGCGGCCAGCAGTCACCTCAGTGGCTGGCTGTCTATGAGAAGGGCAGTGAACTTCAAAAGCATTGTAATAATCATGTAGATGTGTTTCTAGCTGATATGCTAACTCACTGAAGGCTGAAGTCGAGTCTTGGACCTGTGCTATGTGCTGTGCTTTACATTCCCTGCACACTGAACTCCATTACTCCATTTATCATCAGGCTGACTGCTGCATTTTAAACTCTGTCCATCCAAACAGCCTTCCAAAATGCAAAAGGAGCAGCTGCTGGGCCTGTTCAGCACATAGTGTGGAGTGAGTACTGTTTTGGGAGCCATTGCATGCTGTTGTGTACAGGAGTTGGTGTTTGCTTCCTGGGGAAGCTTTCTGTTGGGTGAGGTGAGGCACTTGCTGATGGCTGCGAGTGTCACATCTTCATTTTGTTCTGCAGTCGTACTGCAGGGCTTTGAGTAGCAGTCCTTGGCACCAACTCATTGCAGAGGCGTCCCGTTTTCTTAGAAGGAATCTCACTGATTCATCCACCTCACTTTAAAAAAAACAAAGAGATGTGCTGCAATCTGGAGAAGGAAGGTGGCAGAGCAAATCAGGGCCCAGCATGAAGGTAGAAGCTCATCTAGGCAATGTTTTGGTCCGGCATGGCTGTTAAGAGGCCCTCAGCACTGTTCACAGTGGATCTATATCCAAGTCAAAGATGGCACACAGGTGGAGTGCTCCAGTGTTCATCAACAAGGAAGGAGCTATAACATCTTTGGTTTGTCCCTGTCCCTGAAGAAATAAGGTGGAAAAGGGAAACAGAAGGAGCAGAAGGACAGAACACGTTCTTCAGTCTCAAACGTGGTTATATAGACACAATCATACTTAAAATGCATCGTATGACTGAAGTAAGAAAGGATGCAACTTGAGATCTTGAAAGAGAGAAATGAGTCTTCTCATCTTCTGTACCTGTATGCACCCAGCATCCCTGCAGGCATTCAAGGCCAGGCTGGATGTGGCTCTGGGCAGCCTGGGCTGGAGGTTGGTGACCCTGCACATAGCAGGGGTTGGAGCTGGATGAGCATCGTGCTCCTTTTCAAGGCCAGGCCATTCTAGGATTCAAGGCAAGCTTGTGAAATTGTGCTGCAGAGGAAATGAGGTCAGTTGGAGCTGCTCCTCCCCAGGGCAGAGCTCTGCAGTTCTCTTCCTTGAACTTTATCCGGCATCAGTTCTGGTTCTTACTGCTGTGACAACGGTTACCATGCTGGTGTTCCTCCCCTTGGGATCAGGTCTCGAGGATCAGGTAGCACAGTCCCTATCAAGTACGTCAGGGGTTGTTTGATTGTATTCTGGTGAGGCCACTCCTGCAGTACTGCCCCAGTTCTGGGCTTCTCAGTACGAGAGATAAGAGCCATGGGAGAGAGCCTGACTTGGTGCAGCTGGCTGGAGAGATGAGGGCAGATGTTGTCTTCCTGGCCTTCAGGGTTTTTAAAACAGTATCCCATGATATCCTCATAGACAAACTCAAGAAGCCTGGACTAGATGAGGACAGTAAGGTGAGAACTGGCAGTCCTGGGTCCAATCTCATTTAACATCTTCATCAGTGATCTGGATGAAGGAATGGAGGTGAATGCAGAGCCTCCTTGGCAAGTTTGCTGCTGACAGGAAATTGGGGAGGGTGGCTGATGGCCCTGAGTGCCGTGCTGCTGTTTCTAAGGATCTCGACAAGCTGCAGAGATGGGTGGAATCAACGAAATCAAGTGCAGGGCCCTGCAGACGTGGAGGAACAACCCTGTGCCCCAGCACAGGCTGGGGGCTGAGCAGCGTTCAGAGCAGGGCTGATGGATGCGAGGGGACACGAGCCAGCAGGGTGTCTGTGGGCAAGAAGGCCAATGGCATCCCGGGCTGCACTGGGAGCAACGTGGCAGCAGGGTGAGGGAGGGGGTCCTCTGCTGAGCAGCACTGAGGTGGCCTCGCTTGGAGCCCTGGGTTCACTTGTGGGTCCCCGGTACAAGAGAGACCTGGGTGTAAAGTGGAGTGAATCCAGTGAAGGGCTGCTGAGGTGACAGAGAGCCTGGAGCAGTTCTTGAGGAATGTTCAGCCTGGAGGAGACTTGAGGGGGGATGTGAAGGGGGGAGGAGGAGGATGGATGGGGCCAGACTCTTCCCAGAGGCTGTGGAGGTGATCTCCAGAGGTTTCTTCTAACTTCAGCTGCTCTGTGATCTGTGTAGGGAAGGAAGGCTGTGGGGCAGCCGTGCAGGGAGGGCTGGAGCTGCTCAGCATGGAGCAGGGGAGGCTCAGGAGATCCACCATGGCCACAAATTCCTACAGGAGCTGCAAGGGGACGGGGCTGGGCTCTGCTCAGTGGTGCTGAGGCCAGGATGAGGCACTGGGCTCAAACTGGAGCTCAGGAGCCCATCAACAGGCACTTCTTTACTGTATGGGTTATGGAGCCCAGGCACAGGTTGCCCAGGTAGGTGGTGGAGTCTCTGGATATCCCCAGAGCCATCTGGACATGCACTTTTTTCAGGACTTTGTTCTGCTGAGAGGCTTGCACTGTGCTGTGTGATAACCAGAGAGCTGAGTGGCTGACAGCTTCTTCATCCTCCAAAGGCACAGAGAACACAGCCTCCCATGGGGTGCCTGATGGAAGCTCTGTGTAACAGCACCTCTCAGCAGAAAGAAAACTGGGGGCAGGACAGGGACAACCTTCACTTGTGCTGCTCAGATTTTTGAGGGCCCTGGCAGTGGGAGACGATGCAAAGCAAACATCATTTGATCAGAGGCAGCTATTGGTTATGTGCTTAGTAATGCTAAACAGGGAGCTGTTGCTGCCAAACGCCTGGCTTCCTGTGCCTATTGGCAGAGCCCTTTTTCCAAAATTTCTCCTATTAGCAATGGGTTTTCAGATTTTCCTATCCTCGCAATAGCTGGGTTAGGCGTGAAACAGTTTAAAAGCTGGTTCTGCAGTGAGCAAAATGGAGGTGGCAGCTATTTTAAGGCAGTGGATCACCACCCTCTGTTATCTAAGAGCTGGCAGCTCTGCTTTCCTTCGTGTTCTCCAGCAGGAGGCTGTTTGGGGGCAGTGGTGATCTCTGCTTTGATGCTGTGAAGGAGGAATATGCAATGGTAAGGGCTTGCAGTTCTGTGGTGCTGCCAGCTGCCTCGGGCTGCCCTGGCACCTCTCCCTCTTGGCCCTTTAAGCTGTCTTGAAAATATGTAAAGTAGCTGGATGAACATTTTTGCCTGAATCTACCTTGTGCTTGGCAACTAGCAAGCGCTGGTGCTTGAATTCAGCCATACTGACTCACAGGCAATCTGTCCTTCTTTTGCATTTGCAGAGGGTTGGGGTGCATTTATGTGAACATCTGAAAAGCCCTCCTCAAAACCAATCCTTTTTTTTTGTTTCCTTTGAACTTTCCTGTGACCCATTTTAGATCTCCCTTTTCTCCCTTCCTTGCCCTGTGCTTTCTGGTTGGGTGTTCACCTCTTTCCGTGGTGGTCAAACAAATCTTTAGCACAGGAAAGTGTGAGAGGAGCGAAGCTGAAGGCTGGAAATCGCCATCCTGGAGCTTGCTGGCCCTTCTCATGGGGGGTAAGAAGTGCAGAGGGAGCATCCTGCTGTCCTTGTCATGTTTTGGGGGCTGTGGGATGTTTCTGACACCTCAGGAGCAGCTTTTAATTTGATTTTACTGTTCTTTTGCTGACGTTGGTATCTGAAATAGTAGGCTGGAGGATTTCTTGGTGGCATGGTGTTATTTTTCCACTTTTTGCCTGCTGTTGGTCTCAGGTATCACCGATGAGATCCACTCATGTCAGCATCCAAGGCTACATACATTGAAGAACTCATCTCCTAAAGTCTTACTGAAACAGCTTGCAGTAAACGTATGCTGGAACGCATATCCTGTGTGCTCTGTCATCAGGCATCAAAACTTTGCATAAACAAATGCTCAAATATTCACTGAATCACAAGGGTTGGAATGGCCTTCTGGAGATCACCGAGTCCAAGCCCTGCCCAAGCAGGTTGGCATCCAGGCACGTCTTGAGTATCTGCAAAGACCAGATGGCACAGTGTCTCTGGGCAGCCTGTTGTGGTGCTGTTATTGTGCTGTTAGTAAATATATACCCCCCCCCTGCACCCCGTCCCTTGTTGGGGACCTCCAGTTATGCTGCATCTGGCTCAAGAGGAAGAAGCTTTTGGTGCATGCTTACCCAAGTGTGAGTCTTGTTCCTGAGCCCTGCTGCAAAACAGCAGCATGAGCAACCTAGGCTTGCCTAGCTTGTGCTGTGGCAAGCTGTTAGAGCAGAGCTGTGCCCTGTGCTGGTTGGTTGGTGCCTGTGCTGCAGTGCTGGCTGTAAGCACGAGGCAGGCATTCCTGGCTGAAATGCTCTGTGCTCCTTTAACAGTGATGGGCATTAGAACCAGGGCTCACTGACCTAAAGGGAGATGAAGAGGATAATGTGTTACTTGGCATTATGGCTCTGCTTGTCTGGGCAGCCTGGGTGCAAACGGAGGAACCCATCAGTGTGACCTGCACAGAGCTGTGGAGGGGACAGAGAAAATCTGCTTCACGTGAGAAAGAGGCAGCCTGAGTGACCTGCTGTGTTAGATGCTGCCTTCCCCTTCCTTCCCTGCTGTAGGGATGGGTTCAAAACATGCACTGGAAGGGGCACTGGATCTCTTCTTACAGCACCAATCCCGCTCCATAGACTTAATTTAAGCAATGGAGTTGCAGGGAAGAGCTGAGCTCCATTCAGATTGCACTGAGCTCAGGCCTGCAGGGGGTGGAGGCATATGGGAGCTGTGGTTGTGTTGGCTGCCCTGGCAGCTGCTGAGGATGTGCTCCTTAGCTCCTGGGTGGCTCCAGAGCTGGTTGTTCTTTTTTTTTCATATAAAAGTTCCCCCTTTGCTCATCCCCTTGTTTAGTTGCAATGATCCTGCCAAAAAAAACCAAACCCCACCGTTTGCTCTTTCCTGTGTTGCGTTTGTGGGTGCTTCTGACTTGTGTGGACAAATAGGAGAGTCGTAACATGGGAAAAAACAACCAACCAAGAAGCAATTCACCTTTGTTCATTTAAAAATAGCCTTTCAGGAGCTGTGAGTTGCCATGCCCAGCGTTCTGGGAGGTGGCTTGCACTTCAGGATGGGAGTGGTTGGCTTCTTCCCCTGCACAGAAAACAACTTTTGCAGCAGAAAAATAAACCAACGACTGGATTGCCACCAAACCTCCATACAGGCTGCAGCCGGGCAATCTGTGATGAGTTGCATTTGCTTTGATGCCACTTCATGGCCTCAGCACAGAGAGGGCATGGCAGAATCCAGAACTGCTTGCTGTGATGTGTTCAGTGCTGGAGAGACCTCAGTGTTGATGACCAGGTTGTCGTTTTGCAGACTGCTGTGGAAATTTGGGTCCTTAAGCCATTTCCCAGCCGTTCTCCTGTCTTGTTGCTGCTTTCATAACTCTGCCAGCAGCTCTTATAAGTGCTCCCCAATCCCCAAAGTTTAACGTTGCTGTTAAGGACCTGGGTGAGGGACCTTCACTCAGTGCTTCTGGAGGCATCCCTTGGCTGTGTGCTGCTCAGCCCTGCACAGGGACAGCAGCCGTGGGTCCCTTGGGGATCTCCCACCCCTCACCATGGGGCTGGGCACCCTGTCCTGAGGGTCTGTGCTGGGGTGGGGGGGACCAGAGGGACCCTGAGGTGCCCCCAGCTCAGCCACACCGTAATTCTGTGCACAGTGAGCTCCTACCAATGCTGTGAGTGTGCCAGGTTGGGGAGAGCCATCCTCGTGGTGTCTGCTGTTCGGAGACACGTGGACAGGTTGGGAAGATTGAGGTGAACCTTGGAAAGCTCAGTGAAGTCGAAAAAGCAAATGCAAAGTTCTGCATTGGACAGAATAAGCCTTTGGAGCTGTGCAGACCAGATTTTAAGGCCAGATTGGATGGGGCCCTGGGCAGCCTGGTCTGGTATGAGATGGGGTGGTTGGTGGCCCTTCATGTGGCAGGGGGGTTGGAGCTTCATGATCCTTGAGGTCCCTTCCAACCTTGGCCATTCTGTGATTCTGTGAGCTGGAAGGCAGCTTTGTAGCCTAGGATGAGTTGGGCAGCGTGGCCCTGCAGCTGAGCAGCCAACTGCATCCTGGGCTGTGCTAGCAGGAGTGCAGCCAGCAGGGCTGTGGGGCAGTTCTCCCCTTGTTTGGCATTGTGAAGACACAGCTGCTGTCCTGCAGTTGGGCTGGGGCTCGGAAACATTGCTGTGCTGGCATGGATCAAACTGAGCTCAGCAAGGAGGGCATCAAGGTGGGGAAGGGGCTGAGGAACCACAGAGCTTCATTCCAAGCAGATGCAAGGGTGATCTCCCTGCTGCCCACAGCTGTGGGTAAGAGACACATGGGGTGGATTTAAGGGAGGATCTGTTAGTTAAGAGAGCAGTCAGTTATCAGAATAGATGCCCAGAGGAGCTGTAGGACCCCGGTCCTTGGAGATATATGTAGCCTGATGGCATGGCCCTGAGCAAAATGCTCTTGCTGGGCTTGGTTTCAGCAGGAGGCTGCAGCAGAGCCCTCAGATCTCTGATCCATGTGGGTCCTGCAGTGCACGAGGTTCCTACTTGCAGCAGGGCTGAGCTTGGGGTCGGGCTTAGAGCCTGTCTGCTTGGCTTCCGAGCATCTCCAGTGATGGAGAATCCACAGGAGGCTTCTTCCCCAGGTCAGGCATCCTCCCAGGAGCTCACTGTGCCCCTTTTAATTGTTTTCATCTTTATACAAAATAGTTCTCGCCACCTTCTGGGTGCTGGAGCTCCTCTTGAGTTGCACCACCAGGCTCTGCTCGGTTCTGTTATCTGACAGCATCAGCAGGACCTGTCAGCACGGTCACCTACTGAGCTATTCAGCTTTGTATATCTCATCTTCTCTATTCTAATTGACAACTGTCATAGCCTGGCTCAGACACGCAGTGCTTGCTCTGTGTATCTCTGCAGCCTCTGCTTTCAGCTGTGACAAGCAGTTGTCTTTTAAAAGGGCCAAAACTGATTTCTGCTTGGGAAAGGAAAAGAGGCTGTGCTACATCTCCAGATTGGGGCTTTTGTTGGGCATTTTCACCTCTGATGCATTATCACATCATTTTATTTCATTTTTTTCCTCTTCCTTTCCATTGCACAATGGAACGATAATAATTAGATGCTGTGTTTTTGTCAGGCTAATAAAATAGCAGATCTGACAAGCTTTGCTTTTGATTCCATTACTCTTTTTCAGCTTTTGTTGTTCAGTCTGAAGCCTTATCTTTAGCTGCTGCTTATCCGCTCCACGGCCTTTGATGATGCAAGCTAATCCCTAACAGAGCCAGCAGAGCACTGCGTGGAAACAATCCCAAGGCCTTTATGTTTATGCCGACAGCGCTGCCAGAAAAGCTTGGCTATGCTGAAAGATGTGCCAGGAGTTCGAGGCCTGATAGGTTGACAGGCATCTCACACAAAAGGGCAGGAGCAGCAGAGTCAGAAAGCCCTGGAAGCTCTGAGCTCTGCTTTGTGCACCACTGCGGTGGTTGGACGATCCCTGGCGAGCAGCAGGCTTGCTTTTTCCATCAGTTCCATTCTCGGATGGTTTTAATGACTTTAGAGACTCTCCAGAGCTAAATTCTGGTTTTTATCAGAAATGGTGGAGAAACTAAAGGTAATAACTCTCTGAAACCTCAGTATTTCAACTTTCAAATAGTTTCAGGTATTTATTGTGCTGTAGTGATCTGAGGATTGCAGCGGCAAAGGAGAAAGAAGATAAATGCTGCCTCGCTGTACTGTTAGCTGATTGCTGCTAGGTCAGGATAGGAGCCATCTAAATACAATAAATGATCTCATTTTTCCCCCAGAGGGTGGTGAGGCACTGGCACAGGTTGCCCAAGGAGGCTGTGGATGCCCCATCCCTGCAGGCATTCAAGGCCAGGCTGGATGTGGCTCTGGGCAGCCTGGGCTGCTGGTTGGCGACCTGCACACAGCAGGGGTTGCAATGAGATGAGCACTGTGCTCCTTTGCAACCCAGGCTGTTCTGTGATTCTGTGATACGAGGATTTTGTGCAGGCTGTGGAATAGCAGACACAGCTGTTCCCAGCACTACCAACTTTCCTTTTTTCCTCCCAGCATTCTTGCCTGTCCCTTTCCAAGGGAGAGAACCTCTCCTGTGTGTTGGAGAAATGTGTAAAACAGTTCCCATGAGAGCCGAAGCACTGCTGTATTGTGTCTGTCTCTTCTATCCTGCAGAGATGGGTGTAAGCTGGGGTGGGCTCCTGTTATTCTGCCCTTTGAATTCTTCTGGGAGACTGCTAAAAGCCTGGCTTGAAAAAACCAACCAACCAACCAATCCAAATGACAGTGTTTCTCACTTGTGTCTTAACCACAGCTACCCGCTGCTCAAGCTGCCCTTACCTGGAACAGGACCTGTGGAGTTCAGCACCCCAGTGAAGGATTACTTTCCACCCTCCCCAGATGTGGGCTCACAGCAGGGAGATCCCAGCGAGCGCCCTGACTGGGTAAGTGTGTGTGGGGGGCTGTGTGGGGCAGCAGCAAGACAGCCCTGCTGTGCTGGGGTAGCTGCCCTGCCTGCAGATCTGTGCTGATCCATGGACAGTGTGCTTTGGTTGGGGTTGCTTTGCGTGGTTGCTGAGGTCAGGCTGTAACAACCAGTGGTTTTATCTGATTACAGTCTTAGTCTAGAAGAATAAGAGTTATTCTTACTCCAGGCTGCCCAGAGAGGCTGTGATGCCCCGTCCATCCCTGGAGGTGTTGGAGGCCAGGTTGGATGGGGCCCTGGGCAGCCTGGGCTGCTGTGCAATGGGGAGGTTGGTGGCCCTGCATTGGTGGGGGGTTGGAGCTTCGTGATCCTTGAGGTCCCTTCCAACCCAACCGTTCTGTGATTCTAAAAGAAAAAAAACAAAAGCATGCCAGGCATTTGGAAGAGTCGAAAGCTCTGAAATGCTGTGTGAGGCCTTGTTCTGCAAGGTTGACATGGATAGCTTTGTTTTAGGGCAACTTAATGATGAGTTCTGGGACGGCTGGCCCCCGTTTCCTCATGCCATAGGAAGGTGTGCAGCCTAGAGCAGCAGCCAGTCGAGTGGTACAAACCACAGAGATAAACTGGGCTGAGATTCTGATGTTCAGGGTGAGGAATGAATGTTTCTTTGGCATGAACAAGGAGCAACCCTGATGCTTTCCAACGGGGCTGATAACCTGATCCAGTACATCAGGAAGCCGTTCTGAAATGATTCTTTGCAACCCGTGTTGTTCTTCTTCATTCCAAACTCTCTGTAAAGGGGAAGTTGCCCTTTGGCTGACTGTTTCTCTCTCTACTCTCTCTGTGCATGTTCTTATTGTAATCGATATCATTTACCTTCTTGTACCCTTCCTGGTGCATCAGAGAGCTTTTTTCTCATGCAAATGACTCAAGTTGATAATAGGTTGCTACTGCTGTGTTTCCCCTCTAATTTGGGAGAGAAAAATAAAGTCTGGCAAACCCCTTCCTGAAAGCTTGCCAGGCTGTGATCTGATTCTGCTCAGCAGCTTCCTGCTCACCGTGTGCTCCCATTCTCCCTCTGGTTTCCCTGCAGTATGTGGGTGCTCCAGTGGCCTACATCCAGCAGATCTTTGTGAAGGCCACTGTCTCCCCGTGGCAGAAGAACTTCCTTGCTGTGGACGTCTTTCGTTCGCCGCTGTCCCGCGTCTTCCAGCTGGTGGAAGAGATTCGGAACCATGCCCTGAGAGACAGGTAAGCACTGCTTGGGAAGGCTGGTGTGAAAGGCAGGACTGCACACAGCCCTCTTCTCAATTGTGGCCCGTTGAGTCTGATCATCAGCTTTGAATTTGTTTGATTCTCAAAATGGCTGCCCATGAGGGATGTCACAGCAGTCCTGCAGCTTTTGTGCTGACCTTCAGCCTGTGCTAAATGTCAGGAGCCCTCCGCTTACAGCCTTAGGATGAGAGGTCAGGAATGGTCCTTCAAGGTTACTCCTCCTGTAGCAGATATCAGTGCCATATAATCCTTTCCATAAGCATGCAAGATGTGTATTAAAGCAAGTTCACTTGATGCCACCGTGTCTATTGTGAAACTCTTCTACAATTTCACACGATCAGGATCTTCCTCCTGGCTTTCCACTTTATCTGTGTTCAGGGCCAGTTTATACCTGCTTGTTTTTCTCCTGACGCAGCATTTGTGCAAAAATAGCTCTGATATTTGCAGGGAAAACTCATTCTCCCCAACCCAAATCCTTGGTTGTTAAACTAGGCGTAGGAAACTCGTGGCTCACACTGGGAAGGTGGCTCCGGTTTCACTTGGTTGCATTGGTTGCTTTTCTCCACACATTCTTCTCAGTGTTTCTTCCCTGAACACGGGAGATGAGGATTGCATGCACAGGAGTTCTCAATGAAGTCTCATTTGTTCCTTATTTTCCCTGGAAGTCCCTTTTCTGAATGCAGTAAGGTTGCAGTCCTGGTTGGTCACATCAGCATTGCATGTTGGCCGGGTGGTTGGTTGGCATCTCCCTGTCCATCATTCTCTCATTTCCAGCTGATGAGCTGGAAATACAGCAGAAACTCATTTTAGTCCTCCAAGTGCATGGGGATTTTGTACTGCCAAGAGAAATGAGATGAAATGTAACCCAGCCCTTGCATTGCCCACTTCAGATACTCTGTTCCCCTCTGTGCTGGCAGTGCACCTTTATTTTGTGTCCTTCACAAATGTTTGTGTATCTTGCTCCAAGGTTAGCAGTAAAAGCACGGAACAACTCTGGTTCTGAGCTGCCTGTGAAAAGTCCCACTCTGCTTCCTCCAACCTTCACCACTGGTTCCCCTTTCAGCAGCCTCATGGCTGCTTTCCTGTTAACTTTGTTCTGAACTACGTTACAGTCTTTGTGCCAGCTTCTGTCTTTCCTGTGAACCAAGGCATTTTCTGTAGGTGTCAGGGGGAAGTTTTTCACTGAGAGTGTGGTGAGGGGCTGGAACAGCTGCCCAGAGAGGCTGTGATGCCCCGTCCATCCCTGGAGGTGTTGGAGGCCAGGTTGGATGGGGCCCTGGGCAGCCTGGGCTGCTGTGCAATGGGGAGGTTGGTGGCCCTGCATTGGTGGCGGGTTGGAGCTTCGTGATCCTTGAGGTCCCTTCCCAACCCAACCATTCTGTGATGCTGTGGTTCTTTAATACATTTCATATATGTTAATTTGCCTCTTCTTCTTGTAAAATGTTTTCCTCTGAGTTACGAGTTCTTATTTGCTGTCAAGTTCTTGACTAGGTTTGCTTTCTAAGGGCAGAGAGGCTTCCTGACTTTTCCTTCTAAGCTCAATGAGAATAATGATGGTGAGAGCAGGCAGTGTGGTGAGCTTGGAGTCTTTGATCATCTCCTGGCTTTCTTCATTCTTTGTCCTCTAATTCACATGGCTGAGGATCACATACTCTTTGTTCATTACACATTTCCCTGGCAGCATTCTCCATCGCTTCCTTTCTGAGCATTCACTTTACCACTCTACCTGATGGTTTGTCCTCTTTTAAGAACCAATCCGTGTCAGTTAGCTGTCTGCTTTCTCTCTGATACTATTTAGAAATGCCACTCATGCTGTTAAATATAGAGCTCTTTGCTTCTGCCTCACAAAGCCTTGGCGTTCCTTCTGTTTCCAGTTCATCTCCATCCCTATCATATGTATAATTTTAGATAGCAATCTTTATGTAGTTGCCAGTTACAAGTCAGAAACTTCCTCCTGCTGTGTGCACTGTCTGCTCGTTATCTCCCCTTTGTGTGCTGCCCTTGGTGAGCCATGAGGCAGATGGGGGCAGAACCAACCTTCACACAGAAGGCAAGGCAGTGGCTTAGGCCTTTGGACCTGAGCCTTGGGATGAGGGCCCCCATTTGGTGGCAGGCTGGGGATGTGGGGATATGGTTTAGTGCTTGTGGTACTGATAGGAATGGGAGAGTGGTTGGACTAGATGATCTTGCAGGTCGTTTCCAACCTTGTGATTCTGTGATTTCCAGAAGCTTTGAGATGCATCCTGAAATGACCTCAGAACCCATTGTCCATTTCCTCCTCACCAGCTGTTTTTATCAGTATCAAAGTTAAGCACAGATCATTTTCTTGCTACGAAATAAAGCATTCTTTGATACTGACACACGAGGTGGGACAGAAGCAGCAGCAGGACGTTGACAACTGGGTAGGAAACACAAAGTGATTCTATTTTCATTATTCTTGGCATTGATCTCTGCACCTACAGTGCTGGGCACAGGGGCCAGATGCATTCACTTCCTGAAGGAGAACTCTCACAGGCTTGTGTGCAGTGTGAACTGTTGTCTCCGTTATGTTTCAGAGTTAATTAAAGCCTTAATATAAAACAACAGTCTTCTTCCTTCTGAATCATACAATGGCCTGGGTTGCAAAGGAGCTCAATGCTCATCCAGCTCCAACCCCCTGCTGTGTGCAGGTCACCAACCAGCAGCCCAGGCTGCCCAGAGCCACATCCAGCCTGGCCTTGTATGCCTGCAGGGATGGGGCATCCACAGCCTCCTTGGGCAACCTGTGCCAGTGCAAAAGGCATCACTGCATCAGTTCTTTTGGATTCTCTCTTGGAAAGTTTCTGTTCTTACACACAAGCACAGTATTGTCTGATGTTAATTTGACAGCTGTGGCTTTTCCTGCCCTGCATTGGTGGGATATGGATTCTGGAGGGGTTGTTTGCAAAGCCATAGCTTGATCACTGTTGGTTCCATGTGTTCTCCTTGTGTAAAAAGCCCTCAAGGAAGGCATTTCAAAACAGGACTCTGGCTGATTTGTCTTCTAGAGCACTTTCCTCTGTTATCCTTGGGCTGGAGCCAGGGAGGGTTGTTCTCCAGAGCCTTAAATTGGCCTTTGTTAAATAGCCTCTTCTGTGCAAACACCACTGATGGCCCTTATGGTGTTGAGGGAGGTGTTCTCTTCTGGATCAGCAGCTCTGGCTTGTCTGGCCAAACGCTGTGCTGATAGGTTGTAACTGAGCCCTCCCAGTCAGGTGCTGTTGGAAGCCCAAGCTGAGTCTCTCCTGAATTACTGCAGGATAAGGGTTATGTGTCTGTGTCACAACCCCAGGTTCCACGTCACACCTGGTTTTGGTCTTACAGCTCCATTCATATCCAAACCTGTAAGGCATTTGCTAATCCATGAGCACAGAGCAGTGCTGAAAACAATTTGCACAGCAGCAGATATTGAATCCTTTGTGTGTTTTCAGAGAAGTCTTACCCACCTCAGGCAGGCTAATAGGCATTCCTGTGCAGTGCCCCATTCAACAGATGTGCAAGGAACTGGAGGAGTTTAAGGTCTTTGAAGAGGAATTTCAGGGAGCCAGTTTCTCCGTGGCTCGAAGAGCAGTGCCTTAAATGTGGAACTGAAAGCTGTGGCATCTCGGATGGGTGAGCAGGGAAAGCTATGAGGCCAGAGAGTATGCAGAGCAATGATAATGAGGTTCTGCAGGTTGTACTCCTGTCACAGTGAGCTCCTGGTCCGTGGCCCAGGGCTCTTGATCCTTGGTGATTAGACAAGGCAGTGCAGGTCCTTGGGTTGTTCATCACAGAGGTTTTGCCTTTTGCTTGTGAGAGCTGCACCATATGCAGCAGTGTCTGATCTTTGTCCGCATTTCAGCTCTGGTGTCAAAAGCCTGGAGGAGGTTTGCCTTCAGGTAACAGACCTTCTTCCTGGCCTCAAGAAGCTGCACAATCTGCTCCCTGAACACGGCTGTTTGCTGCTGTCTCCAGGGAACTTCTGGCAGAATGATCGAGAGCGATTCAATGCTGACCCAGACATCATCAAAACCATCCACCAGCATGAACCAAAGACTCTGCAGACGTCAGCTACTCTCAAAGGTAAGAGGCTGAAGTGCCAAAGAAGCTGTCAGAGATGCCTGCAGCTTGCACTGCTGTTTTGTCCTTGCTATTAGATTGCTGCTAATACCAAATTGGGCGGCATTTTGTTACTCACAACATCCAGAATGAAGCTACCAGATATATTTCATCGCTTGCTTCATACCCATGTTTGAAGTCCTTTCTTTATTTGTGGAAAGCAGATCATTCCGCTCAGTGAACCCCCTTACTTGGGTTGGAGTAATCCCAGACACTTATACTGGGAGAAGAGCTCCTTGAGGGCAGCCTGGCTGAGAGGGTCCTGGGGGTCTGGTGGATGAAACACTGAGTGTGAGCCAGCAGTGTGTGCACAAAGCCCAGAAAGCCCATGGTGTCCTGGGCTGCATCAGCAGAGGGGTGGCAGCAGGGACAGGGAGGTGATTGTCCCTCTCTGCTCTGCTCTTGTGAGGCCCCACCTGCAGTGCTGTGTCCAGGGCTGGGGACCCCAAGACAAGAAAGACAGGGAGCTGTTGGAGAGGGTGCAGAGGAGCCACAAAGATGCTCAGAGGCTGCAGCACCTCCCTACAAAGACAGGCTGAGGGAGCTGGGCTTGTTGAGCATGGAGAAGAGAAGCTGCGGGGTGACCTCAGTGCAGCCTGCAGTGCCTGAAGGGAGCCTGCAGCCAGGAGGGGAGTCAGCTCTGTGCAAGGGGAGATGGCAGCAGGACGAGGGAAATGGTTTGGAGCTGAGGGAGGGCAGCTGGAGGTTGGATGTGAGGGGAAGTTGTGTGCTGTGAGAGCGGGGAGGGGCTGGAACAGCTGCCCAGAGAGGCTGTGATGCCCCGTCCATCCCTGGAGGTGTTGGAGGCCAGGTTGGATGGGGCCCTGCACAACCTAATCTAGTACTTGATCCAGTGGCAGCAGGGGGTTGGAGCTTTGTGATCCTTGAGGTCCCTTCCCACACAGGGCAGTCTGTGATTCCATGCCAGCTGCCTGCATGTATCTCTGTGTGCTGTTCAGGCCATGATCTCAGTGGGATCAGAGGCGAGGAGGGGCAGCTCACAGCACTGGAGCACTGCTGGGGATGGATGCAGGCTCTTCAGGAAGGACGGGCTGGGAGATGAGGGGAGCTCTGCTTTGTGTGAGGGAGCATCTGGAACACATGGAGCCTTGCTTAGGAGGAAGTGATGAGCTAGCTGAGATGTCTCTTGGGTTAGGATTAGAGGGCAGACCACTGCCTCCATCATTTATTTCCCTGCATCAGACATTTGCACACATCAACAGTATCTCAACAAAGCACTGAGAAGGTGTTCCCTATCAGAGCACTGCATCTAACTCAGAATTTTTCACTACAAACGTTCTCACTTCCCATCTCGTGTGCCTGTTTTTCTGTTATCATTCGTGACCCATGCTGTGTTTTTGCAGATCTGTTGTTTGGACTCCCTGGGAAATACAGTGGGGTGAACCTGTACAACAGGAGGCGAGTGGTGTCATACACTGTCACACTGGGTCTCCAGCAGTATGACTCCAGGTAGGGAGCTCTGGCTGTGCTCTTTTAATGTTAGGACACCCGTACTTGTTTCTTGGAAAGCTTGCTCTTGTTTTTTCCAGCTCTTGTTATTGCTGTGCTGCTGTTTAGTCTCCATTTCCTTACGTTTGGGGGGGGTCTTCTGGAGGTACTGTAGAAAAGCAGGGTGCTCTTCTGGGGAGAAACGAAATACTGTCAGCACTTGGGTTCCTTCTAAAAAACAGTAGGTATAATACCCAAAGCTGGCACTGGGAGTTCCCCTGATGATGGCTTCATCTGCAGATGGAGCTGTCAGTCGTAGCAGCCAAGGCCCAGCAGGTCTGCTTTGACCCAGTTCCTGCTGCATAGAGCTGGAGTGCTTTGCTTTCCAGCAAGCACTAATTCAGCTGGTACCGACTGTGAAACCCCCGTGGCAGTGTTGGCAAAGCTGGTTTGGCTTGAGCAAACCTGAGGATGAAACAATCTGCTCAGTGCTGCATAGAATTCCCCAGGGAATGCCTGGGACACAACTGGCAGCACAGCAGCCAAACCTGTGCCCATCCAAGAGCCCTTCAGCCTCAAGGACTGTCACGTAGGAGCTGTGATTACTTAAAATGTAGGGGATGTTTGAGCCTGCAGGATGTTCTGCTCCCTAGGGCCAAGATTTTTGATGACCAGCCCTCGCTTTAAATAGTTTTGCTGAATCTTCACGGTTATCTTTGAAGCTTTACAGAAATCAAGGTGTGGGAGATAGATAGCCACAGTGCAGATGTGCTGGATGTGGTTTGGGCCCCGGAGGAGCAGAGTTAGCAGTCAGACCTGGAGAGAGCCGTGTTTGGTAAATCTCTATGGATCTGCAGAGCTTCTTGTTATCTGAACTCATGGAGCTCCTGCTTGGAATCGCTTGCTGGCTGTTTGGTGCAGTGTGGAGGACAGCCTGCTCACTTCTCTCCCCCCCAGGTTCCTCAGCAGCCTCCGTTCTCGCCTCAAGCTGCTGCATCCCAGTCCAAACTGCACGCTGCGGGAGGACAGCATCGTTCACGTGCACTTCAAGGAGGAGATTGGCATTGCTGAGCTCATCCCCCTCGTCACCACCTACATTATACTCTTCGCTTACATCTACTTCTCCACACGTAGGTTTGTGGGGTGGAGAGCCCGGAGGGGGGAGCAAGCTGTTAAGCCACCTGTATGGCACTGAAGGGACGGGTGGTGGGGTGCACTTCCCCTGTCCGTAGCACTGCCACAGCACTGCAGCTCCCTCCTGTTTCAGCAGCAGGGCTGATGCTGATATTTGGCCACGTGGAGGATTCGCAGCCTTGCTGATGTGGTTTCTACTCATTGGTTCCTTTCAGCCAACGTGTTGTTATTCCCTGTGATGTCTTCTGAGCTTTTCAGTGTCTTACATAGTATCTGCCATAGTAGTGATGCTTTTTACAATTTGGACAGACTGATTTGTGGTCATACAAATGAAACACGTGGTTTTAGGCTTACTAGTCGTATTTAAGCTCCTTTTCTCATGCCCCAGCAGTGCTGTGCTGGAACTGGTATAAGCTGCAAGCCAAGTGCTGTCCTCTGTCCCATCCTGTGTCCTACACAGTGGGAGTTTTGGGATCTGTGTTTCAGACACTGACCCTGAGCTGCCACCGGCCCTGGGCTGCAGGCTGGTAAATACCTGCAGCCACAGATCAGGATGAGGATCTGTTCTCCTTGATTTCTATTAGCATGTCATTTTCTTCTGCCTGCTAATGGAGACTTTGCATTCTGCTTTTCAGGGAAGATCGACATGGTGAAATCAAAGTGGGGTCTGGCCCTGGCAGCTGTCGTGACAGTGCTCAGCTCCCTGCTGATGTCAGTTGGGCTGTGCACACTGTTTGGTTTGACACCCACTCTTAATGGAGGGTAAGTTTCCAGCACCAAACCTCTTCCTAAACAAGGGCAGATGGAGGTGAAATCCTTTGAAAACAGCTGTCCAATGTTTAGTCATTAAGTATTTTTCATCTGAGGTTACATGGTTTACTGATACTGCTGCGTAAAATTATCAGCAGACCCCTCCTGAGTTGAAGGGCCGTGTATTTCTGTCTGTCCAGCAGCAAGACCTTGCTAGATCACAGTGTTCCCAGAGCTGCCTCAGTGCTGAGCAGTTGCCTCTTCAGCCTCAAGCAGAAGGAATTGGCTGGGCCAGGTCTTATTCCTGAACGTGATTTCCTGGCAATGGGCTGGGCACCCGCATACCTTTCTCCTGCAGTGACTTGTCTTGGCATCCAGAAGGACTTACTGCTTTTTCTCTGGCTGGCTTCACTACATTTTGCTGGGAAAAAGTGTGTCAAGGTGTCAGAACTGACCTGCACTGTCTGCCTGCTGGCCAGCACGAGGGAGCGTGCACCCATTGCTCATCTCTGGCAGCATCTCTTCTGGCTGGGGTTCCTGTGGGTGCTCAGACTTTTGATGTGGTTGTTACCACTCGTGTTTGTGTTGAGAACACCTGAGAACTCAGTTAAAGTTCAATTCAGAATCTTTTGGCTTTCAGACCCCTTCCCTAAGTAGTTGAGGAATTACCCATCATTTTTCTTCCCATTTCTCCTTCCAGCTGCATGCTGCTGAAACAATTCAGGTCTGACCAGGAGGGAGATCTCTCAGTGCTGGCAATAGTTTACCAGGAGCCAGACCAAGAGAGGGGAATTCCTCCCCAAGAAGCCTAAAAGAGCTGTGAAAAATTGACTTCAGAAATGGAAATATTTGTTCCCTTTTTTTTACCTCTGTGGTAATTACTCCTAATTACTTAATTACGGATCAGGATGAGCTGTACAAATAGAGCAGATAGGATCCATGGAGAGTTTATGCTTTTAACTCAACCTACAGCACAGTATTTGGACGGAGATGAGTGGAATTCAAGGGGGTTTTAACCTGGTTTTGGTTAGCACAGTGACCAAGGCCTTTGTGTGCTGTTAGCCTTACAGTTGTCACACGTAAGGGCTAAACTAATCCAGCCATTCCTTAATTAAGGCAGTCCTTATTTCTTAAAGTAGCTTTTCTGCAAAAATTCTTTGCCTTAAAATGATTGCATGGAGGGTTTCCTTTGGACTTCAAGCTCAACTCTTGGAAGCTTCATTCCCTCAGTGCTTTATAAATGCTGCTTAATTAGATGGAGGACGCTTGGATTCTGTGGTTCTGAGCACACTGGGCTTTCGTTGACTTCTGGTGGCTCTGACAGGGTGGCTTTTTGGCAGGCTGGTGCTGCTGGTGTAGGTAAATACCATGCAGCACTGTGGTGGGTGCACTTTGGTGTAAGGACTCTTGGAGGGATGGATCCCACAGAGGGGATCTGCTTCCTCTCCCGTGTCAGCATCACCATCCCAAAGCGCGCCGAGCCTGCCCTGTCAGCTCTTAAATGCTCATCATTTCCTGTTCTTGGCAGCTGCCTGAGGTGGGATCGTGCTGAAATGTGAGGTGGAAGTAGGATTGAGGACTGCGTGGAGGATGGGTTGAGGGTGCCAAGAAGATCCTTCGACTGTCCTGCGTTGCCCAGTGTCTGCCAGAGCGCTTTCCCTCTTGCTGTCTGCATCCTGACTGGGCAGTGTTTGTGCTGTGTCACTGCACCAGCTGGCATCATGCTAGGGTTTGCCCAGCCTCAGCCTGCAGTCAGACTGCCTTGGCTGGACTTTGATCTGACTTATAGCCTTTTTTATCCATTTTGACTCCAGCAGAGCCTTCTGGATGTGGGTGTGTTGGTTTTAATGGCACTGCACTCACGATAAGCCCTTTTCCCTCACCTGTTTTTGTAAGAGAGCAGTACTGACTTTTTACTATCGCATGATACGTAAACCAGACCTTAATCATCATCAGTCTTCTTTTATCTTTCTCTGATGGTTTTCCCTTGTCTTACAGCATGGTTCAAATATTGATGAAATAAAATAATTACAGGTAAGGTAGACGTTAATCTCATATTGCAGAAAGGGAAATCCAGTGGAGGTCAGTGATGTGATCTGCCCAGGATTTGAGGCTGAACTGAGGCAGGATGCTTGGAGATCACTGAGAGAGGGCTACGTGAGAGCTGGAGGATGTGAAGGCCTCACCAGCAGCTGCTATCTCGCCTAAATTAGAGCAATCACAATCTCAGATAATGACCCACTGCTGCTCCCTGTTCACTGCTGCTGTTTGCAGGGTGTGACAGCTTGTATCTGACCTGCACAGCCTTGCATTGCTCTGCAGGAGAAGCTCATGTCGGATTGCTCTTAAGCTGCTTGTCGCCTCCAGTGAAAACTGCTGACTCTTCGAGGACTATTTCAGCTCGTAATCTGTGCCTAATAATTAATTATCTTCAGCAATTGAGGCGGCTGTTGAAGCAGGGCGTAGTTGAGAGTTGTGGATTTCCTCTGCCAGGTTTGTGCTGCCTTCCCAAGGCTCACTGCAGGCAAGGCAAGGCAGGTCTGCTGTGCCTTGCAGGGCTGTGTGTGAGGACAGGAGTCTGCAAGGCTGTGCTTTTGGGCAGCCTGCTCTGCACATGTGTGCTGTGCTGTGCTGTGCAGCACCCCTCTCCCTCGTGGCTGTCTCTCATTCCCTTCATTCAGCAGTTTCCATCCCTAAGGATTCCAAAGAGATTTTCTCACATCTGCCTTCTGTCCCGAACCACTGCTTGGAGGAGTGACACAGGTTATGAACTGAAAATGCCTTTAGATAAAGGCAGAACTGAGGGCTTGCTGCATTTTAGATTCTGTGACGTGTCCGAGGAGCCCCTGATGTCCTGTGTGTGTTTGTGTTCTGTCACTTGATATGGGAATTCACCTCCTGTGCAGGTCGTGGACTGGAGATGGAGGGAGTGACACATTGCACAGCCACTGATAGAGCTGGCATTCAGATAGGAATCCTGCAGGTTTCGTGGGTTTTGTGTGTGTTTTTTTCAGTAATCCTTCTTTGAATGGAGCTCTTGCTGTTTCAGCTTGCCATTTGTGCAAGGAATTGGAAGGAGTTAGCTGAGTTAGCAGTGTTTCCAGGCAGGTGTTTTTTCCCCATTGACCTTGTAAGGTACAAGCTGATGGCAGCTGCCTGCCTGCAAATTCTGCTGAGCTGTAGGCAGCTGGAAACAGCCCTGGGAAGTTGGTTTCTGGTAGTGGCAGGAGGCAGGTGTGCTCCTGAAGCCTGTTGTTCAGCTGTCTGAGCTGTCAGTGAGTTGCACAGGGCTGAGGACACACGCACAGAGCAGCACAGCACACACCCATTCCCCTCCAGAAGCATTTTTGCTTACATTCAGCTGGAGGGAGATGAAGAGATTTATGATCTGCCTTGTTTCTGGCATGGAACAGCTTTTTTTCCCCCCCCTACTGATCTGAACTGTAAGTAATTAAAAGAGAGGAAAAAAAGTCACGATGATGTCCTTGAGCACTTGTTCTCTTCTGAATGTATTCTGAAGGGCAAAACCACAGCAGTATGCATTCCTGAGCAGTGGGTGCCAACGATCCCTGGGAGGATTTGTTGGTGTGCAGTTCCTTTGTGCCCTGCACACTGTGCTGTGTGGTGGCTTCTAAGCAATCAGCTCCTTGGTGGTGGTGGGACAGGGCTCTGACCTTCACACTGCAGTGATGTTCCTAGTCCATCTTCCTCTCTGAACCTCTTTGTCCTACGACTCCTTGAGGGAGAAGAAAGAAGGGATTTGGCCAAGAGTAGTGGGTGGTGTTTCCTGCCTTTGGCTCCGGGGCGTTTGCAGTTTAGCCTGCGTTCTTCCGTTGTTTTCACCAAAGATTTCATTCTCAGTTCTGTTCCTGTGTCCTTTAGAGAGATATTTCCATACTTGGTTGTTGTCATTGGCCTGGAGAACGTGTTGGTCCTCACCAAGTCTGTTGTCTCTACGCCCGTTGACCTGGAAGTGAAGCTCCGCATCGCCCAAGGTATGCAGCCTGCATGGACTCACAGCACCACAGAATGGCTTGGGTTGCAAGGGACCCCAAAGATCATCAAGATCCAACCCCCCTGCTGCAGGCAGGGCCTCCAACCTCCGCGTTTAATACCAAACCAGGAAGGGTGGAAGGCTGCTGAGAGAGAAAAAGTAGGGTAATGCTGGGTCTGGGAGGTGGGGAGTGATCTTAGCTGTGCTCTGTAGTGGAAACAAGAGCTGTTTGTGTTGAGTGGGAACTGGGGGTTGAATCCTAATGGTCTGTCTTGGTATTTTTATGATTTCCAAGAACTGATGTAAGCCTGTAATTGCGAGCACTGCTTTTTGCAGCTCTTGGGTGAAGCAATGGCTAAATAGGGTTAAAAAAGTGTTGGTAAGGGAGAGCTGCATCCCCTGGTGAGGATATTTAGTACCTTTTCCTATTGTGTCATGGATAGTGAAACCCCAGTTCACAGTTCTTAAGTTCTGCTGAGTATGTGAGAAAATGATCTGCTCTCCAGCAGGATTGCAGTGTGCTCAAACCACGGGTAAATGGGGTTTGCAAACTTCACAGCTATTTCTAAACATTAGAAGTCCTTATGAAGGGACCTTTGAAGGCCATTTAGTCCAGCTGCCCTGCAATGCACAGGGACAGCACAGCTCCATCAGGGCTCAGGGCCTGATCTGGCCTTGGAAGTCTGCAGGGATGGGGCATCCACTGCATCTCTGACAGCCTGTGCCAGTGCCTCAGCACCCTCATCATCAGGTGGATTAATGGTAACCCATCTGAAAAGGACACTGGAACGTACAGGCCAGCTATTTGAATTGTAAGTAGATATCCAAGACAAATCCCATGAATTTTAGCCTAAAAGTGCCCTTTTTTTGTCTGGTGGGTAAAGATGCTGAATGCAGCAGGCAGTCCTTTAAGCTGTGCTCGTGCCTGTTCACCTGCAAGCAGCCTCCTAACCTCTCTGTGCATGTTATTTCCCCAGGTTTGAGCAATGAGAGCTGGTCAATTATGAAGAATATGGCCACAGAGCTTGGGATCATCCTGATCGGGTATTTCACCCTTGTCCCAGCCATCCAGGTGAGTGTGGCTGATCAGTTTGAGCACTCAGGACAGACTGCAGGCTTGTAGGCAGCACAAGAATGTGGTGTGCAATGCTTTGCATTAGCTGTTCAGGAGCACCCAGCTGCTTCATGGTGAGGAAGGGAGGAATCTGTGCCACAGCAGGAACGTTTCTTTCAGGAGCTGCCATGGGAAAGGCAGTGGTGCCTTTAGTTCAGTCAGTGCCAGGCACCTGCTTCAATCTCCTTGTGGCAGCTGTGTGTAAATAGCATTGTCCTTGGGGCCATCTGAGTGTGGGCTGCCACTTGGGCCACACGTAGTTCTGAGATTGTCCAGCAGATGCCTTCTGCTGGGAGCCTCAGTGCTCACAGACCTTACGTGGATGTACTGCAGACGTGTCTGTAGTGATGCTGTGCTCCAAGGTTACGTGTGCAGCAGGTTGTATAGGAGGAGGAGTACGATTTTTCAGAGCCAGTGGATACAGCTGGGATCAGGAAGTTTGCCCTTGTTTTGCGTTCATTTCTTGGCCTAATGAAATGCCATCTAACACAGCAACCCCTGTTTCCTGTGGCTTTGCTGACTTTGTGATGGCTGCAGCTACCTGCCCTTAGGTCCCACCAGCAGGGAGGATGAAATGCAGGCACGTTCATCCACAACATGCCTGTAATGCACTCTGCCACACAGATTAAGACAGAAACACTCAGCACCCCGCAAGGCCAACAGCTGCATCCCTCAGTTCCTCACAGTTCCTCAGCCTGCCTCTCAGAAACAGGAGGACAACAAGAGGAGCTACGCTGGAATTCCCCAGGCCATCTCTGGCCACACGTTGTGCCTTGATTTTTGTGCGTGAAGCTGATTTGCAGACACCAGCAGGATTCATCCTTTGGGTCTCAACTGGGCTCATTCATTTGCCATGTCCTTCTTTCCTTTCGCTATGGAGGAGCCTGTGGAGTGCACTGATTACAGGAGACAGATGGGAATGAGGCAGAGCCACGGAGCTGTGTAGAAGCATGGCAAGAAGTGAGGCTGTTCCTCGCATCCACATGCACTCCTGATCTTCACAGCGTTTTGAACTGGGTGCTGACATCCATTCTTGGCTCTCTGTGCCTTTCCTTGGCTGCTTGTTTTCTCCACAGCAGGAATCTCACAGGGATGCTGGCTGTCTGGTGTGTGCCCCTTACCTGAGTCTGTCCCTGGGAGTGGAGGACGCTGTGCTTTATGGTGTTGCACAGACCAAGGAGTCCTGCAGGAAAAGAGCCAGGCTGCATAAATCCAGCAGCTCTGTGCTGTCAGAGGAGCACTGCTGGGATCACCAGGTCCTCTCTGCAGGGAATGGCAGAAGAGCTGAAGGCCCAGGGATTGTAATGAGACCCCCAGTCTCCTCTCATTGTGCCAGTGGAGGCACTGAGCTGCTGCAAGGTGCCCTGAGAGCCCCTGCTGTGTTCTTCTCTTGGCCACTCCTTTGTTCTGAAGCTCACACATTAATCCTGCACTCTCTGAAATCGGTTTGGGTTTTGCCACAGGGTGTGCAGTATCCAAGTATAAGAAGATTTCTGATTTCCAGGGCTAGCAGTTTCGGATATCTCTAATCCTAAGTGGAGGTATTAACAGAATTAATGTCTCTATATGCAGAGCTTGCCATTTGTGCAAGCTGTTTGCTGAGGTCTGCATGCAGTCCAGATGGATGTTGCTTTCCCTCTGCTTTTCTCCCTTCCAGACGAACCTGGGTTGTGTTTTCACCCCCCCCACCCTTCCAAAACTTCATGTCAGATGTTGAAGAAGCGATCAGAGAGAACTCAGAATCCTCCTCATGCTGTTTGTGCTGGAGGCGTGGGGACGGCTGGGCAGCTGACCTGCTGGGTTCTCTCTTTCATATTGCACTGATTCTCAGATAACAAGCAATTTGATTGCTTACATTTCAGGAACAGTTTGAACAGAGGCTCCAAGGTTTGTTCAGAGGTTTAGGATGGCTTGTCAGGCTGTTTGCATTTCACTGTGCTTCTGTTGGCCTGCGGCAGGGAGCTGGGGCAGAGCTGGGCAAGAGGAGGGCAATGGAAATGCAATCTGCTGGCTGTGAGTGTCTGCAGGGATGGGGCACCACCACCTCTCTGGGCAACCTGTGCATTGCCTCACCCCCTTACTGTACAAAACTCCTTTCTTCCATCAGTCTAAATCTCCCCTCTTTTGGATTGAAGCCATTTCCCCTTGCCCTGCCAGACAGACCCTGCTACAGAGTCAGCCCCCTTCCCTCTTACAGCCCCTTTAGGCACTGAAGGCTGCTCTCAGCTCTCCCTTCAGCCTTCAGCCCCAGCTCTGCCAGCCTGTTCTCACTTGTGATACATTCTGTTCTCATGCTCTCTTCACATTTACGAGATCTTGCTTGGGACCTGACAGAAATTTGTACCTCCAAGGGGAACGAAACTCCTCCAAAATACTTTAATTTGATGTTGCTGTGAAGTTTAAAATGGAGAGGGGATGGCAGCACTGGTGGGAACTAGGAACGTGTGTTTGTGTTATAGAGGTGGTTTGGGAGTTGGCTGTTAGTGCTGCTGGGTGAACCTGCTGTGCTTCTCATCCTTACTTCTGCAGAGGCATCTGCTGGGGAAATGGGGCATTGCAGGAGGATTAGAAAACACTTCTGCAGGTGTTTCTCGTGTACTTGGTTTTTAGAGACATCAAATAGTGGGTATGGGACTTCTCCATAGCCTGGTCTGGTATTAAATGTGGAGGTCGGTGGCCCTGCATGTGGCAGGGGGTTGGAGATTCGTGATCCTTGAGGTCCCTTCCAACCCTGGCCATTCTGTGATTCTCCAGGGCTGTAGAACTGGAACACGTCCATCAGACAAGGATTAACCAAGCACGTGCTTTAGCTGGAGCCCTAAGGAATGGCTGCAGGTCATACAGTGCCTCTGGTGGTCTTCCTTTGGGGAGTGACTGTACCCCACTCCTGGGCTCCCCATGTTCCTGGGGGAGTTTTAAATAGGAGGGAAAGCTCGTTGGTGATCCTGGCAATAGGATTTGTCAGTAAAATGAACTCAGGCCCGTGCTCTGGGCAGGGTTTTGCTGAGCTGCCTTTTTCCGAAGCTGAAATGTTTACCATTGCAGCTGTAGCTCTCTGCCACAGCTAACGCCTGTGTTCTGCCTGCAGGAGTTCTGCCTCTTCGCTGTGGTCGGCCTGGTGTCTGACTTCTTTCTGCAGATGCTCTTCTTCACCACGGTGCTGTCCATCGACATTCGCCGCATGGAGGTAAGGAAGGGCCTCAGGATGGCTTTCTGCTTTGGGTCTTGCTTCTCTGCTGGTGTGGAGAGACTAAAGGAAGCATACCTTGTGGGTTTCATAGAATCATAGAATCACCAAGGTTGGAAAAGACCTAAAAGATCACCCAGTCCAACCGTTCACCCATTACCAATAGCTCCCACTAAACCATGTCCCTCAACACAGCATCCAGTCTTTCCTTGAACACCCCCAGGGTCAGTGACTCCACCACCTCCCTGGGCATCCATTGCAGTGCCTGACCACCCTTTCTGAACAGTAACACTTCCTCATGTCCAGCCTGAATCTCCCCTGCCGTAGCTTGAAGCCATTCCCCCTGCTCCTATCACTGATGACACGAGAGAAGAGGCCGACCCCCAGCTCACTACAACCTCCCTTCAGGAAGTTATAGAGAGCAATGAGGTCTCCCCTGAGCCTCCTCTTCTCCAGGCTGAACATTCCCAGCTCCTTCAGCCTCTCCTCATATGGCCTGTGTTCCAGACCCCTCACCAGCTTTGTTGCCCTCCTTTGAACACGTTCCAGGGCCTCAATATCTTTCTTGCAGTGAGGGGCCCAAAACTGGACACAGTACTCAAGGTGAACGAAACTCAAGGTTTCGTTCTCTTAGGCATTAAGGATTGGGTGGTAAGAGCTCTGGGGCAGGGCTTGCTGGTTACACACATGGGATTGGGGATGGGACTTGGGGGGCTTGGGTGCCCTCGGGTGTATAAACATGCAGAGTTTGGATAACTGGGCTGGAAGGAGAGCTGGTCACAGACAGGTGACTGCAGGAGCGTGCGTGCCAGGGAGAGACTGGGCCAGACTGAGCAGAGAGCACGTGTGGGAGCTCAGGGCCAGCACTCACCCTGTCCAGGTGAGTGTGCATGGCTGACTGCACGCCGTGCCCATGGCTCCATCGCTTCTCCCTTGGCAGCTCGCCGACCTGAACAAACGGTTGCCAGCGGAGGCCTGCCTGCCCCCAGCAAAGCCTGCCGGCCGCTCGCAGCGCTACGAGAGGCAGCCAGCCATGCGACCTGCAACCCCGCACACCATCACCCTGCAGCCGTCGTCCTTCAGGAACCTGCGCCTGCCCAAGAGGCTGAGGGTCATCTACTTCTTTGCCAGGACCCGCCTGGCCCAGAGACTCATCATGGTGAGCTGCAGGGCGGGATCAGACGTCCTGCTGGGCTCTGAGCCAACCCAAATGGGCTTCCAAGGGAAAGGGAAAAGAGAAAAGCTGAGCGTTTGGAGGAGAGAAGGCTGCAGGGAGACCTCATGGTGGCCTTCAGTGCTTGGAGGGAGCGGATAAACAGGAGGGGAACGGCTGTGTGTGAGGGTGGGTGGTGATGGGACAAGGGGAATGGTTTTAAAGTGAGACAGGGGAGGTTTGGGTTGGATGTGAGGAGGAATTTTTTGAGCCAGAGGGTGGTGAGGCACTGGCACAGGTTGCCCAAGGAGGCTGTGGATGCCCCATCCCTGCAGGCATTCAAGGCCAGGCTGGATGTGGCTCTGGGCAGCCTGGGCTGCTGGTTGGTGACCTGCACACAGCAGGGGTTGGAGCTGGATGAGCATCGTGCTCCTTTGCAACCCAGGCCGTTCTGTGATTCTATGATTTTCATGCATCTTTGTTCCCCTGCAAGACTTCGATGTCCCCATGGTAAATAATTCAGGAGCAGCTTCTCTAAGAACATCCCTCTGCATACAGCAGCCTCAGGGCTTTGTGTTTGCACAGAGTGTGCAGGTAGCAGACAAGTTCCTGATATTTGCTTTGAGAGGCTTTTATACGAGCAGATCTTGAAGGACTGTGAAAGTGGAGAGAAAAGGTATTTACAGAGCAAGAGCCCCGTTTGTTCCTGCAGATAGTGTGGAATAAAGGCATGGAGACACTTCTCTCCATGAAAGCCTAATACGTTCCCTTTTACAGGTGTGACTGCAGTGGTTACACAGCACTGCACCTATTTGTCCTCTGCTTCTCAGGTCTGGATGTTTGTAATGCAAACAGTGCAGACCATGCATTCCTTGGCTCTGCAAAGCACAGCCCAGCCTGTTGCCAGCTAACACTGATGGCAGTTGGTGCATATCTGAGAGGCATGGCTGTGCCATGTGTTGCAGAGTTAAAGCAGAGCCCTGCTCTGAGCCTCCCCAGCACTTTCTGAGGATGGCAGATGTGCTGATCTCAGCCATCAGTGAGAAATCTCTTCCCTGCTGTGCATTAGAGTGGGCCAAGTGGAGTTCCTACCATCAGGCTGAGTCAGATAGCTCCCAGAAAAGCAGCGCTCACATTCGCTGTGTTCTGTGCAGCCTCTCCCAATCTTCTTAAAGGATAAGTGTCTGGGGTAAGAATGTCACTGAGGGCTGGGATGTGCTGAGCAGCTCAGACGGCTCGCAGGGCAGGAGGGGCTGCATGCAGGGCCATGCACTGAGTGCTGTGTCTCCTTGCTCACGGTGCAGGCTGGGACAGTGATCTGGATTGGAATCCTGGTTTATACGGATCCTGCCGGTCTCCGCACCTACCTCACGTCACAGGTCACTGAGCAGAGCCCTCTGGGTGAAGCAGGCCTGCCTCCTATGCCCGTTCCTGGAGGGGTCCTTCCTGCTGGAGACCCCAAGATTGATCTCTCGGTCTTCCCATCGGACCCCATACAGCTGTCAGAGAACCAAACCCAGCAGCGCGAGCAGCAGGTGGGGTTGGAGACCCTGGGCAGGCTGGAGACAAACCAGCACACTTGGGCCCAAGGATCAGAAGGCAAAGGGAACGGGCAAACGGAGCTGGGAACTGAAGCAGAGGTCACCTGGGGAGCAGAGGATGAAGAGATTTGGAGGAAGCTTTCCTTCAGACACTGGCCGTCCCTCTTCAGCTATTACAACATCACTCTGGCCAAGAGGTGGGTGGGCTGGCTCCTCCTGCTGCTGGGCAGTGGTAGCGAGCTGTGTGGAGCTGCCTGTCTGAGAATGGGGTTTGTGTTTCTCTCTTGTGCTCTTGGTTGTGTTGCTGGCTCTTTGCCTTCATCCCAGCTGTTGTATTTTTGGGAGAAGACGTTTAGAATTGTGTAAAATGACGTGTGGTTGTGTGTGTGTGGTGGGGATGGTACGTCAGGAATTGAGTGAGTTGAGTTGAAGAAATGCTGATCGCTTCTGGTCTGCGCTGTAGAGGAAACTGTGATCATTTTCTCTCTACCTAAATCAATGTGATCCATCTGAGGTCAACAGTAGCACGCTGCACTGTGGGCAGCCTGCCTTGGCTGCTGAGGAGAAGAGCTGAGGGTAATGAGAATGAAACCCAGTTGTGTTTTTGTGTCTCTTTGCGCTTGGTGACGCTAAGCTCTCCTCATCTCCATCCTTCAGGTACATCAGCATCCTGCCAGCAATCCCAGTCACGCTGTACCTGAACCCACAAGAGGCCTTGGAAGTGCGGCACCCCCAGGAGGCCAACCGCTACCAGCCCTTCTTGTCCTCCAGCAGTGGGAAGTTGAACGCTGAAGCTCAGCCCGACCAGACATCATCCAGGCTGCAAGGACACCGGGATGTCACCCTTTACAAGTAAAAGAGGCCTTGCTGCAGCCTCCTGACCACCCTTAACTCTCTTGAGACACAGGTTGCTCTTTGGCTGTTGGGCTCTTCTGCTGGTGGGGAAAAAAAAGGAAAACGATGAGATCCATGTTAAGCTTCAGTGCAAAATCCTGCAACTCTCAGGGCACTGCAGCTCTGCTCACACAGCCCTAAATTCATCCTTGCACTGCTTCCCTCCGCTGAGCTCCTCAGCAGGGTGTGGTGTGTGTGGCACATAGCACACCTTGCTGCTGGTGGGGTGCAGGGCACTTGGTGCCGGTGTCCGTGGATGGCTGTGGGCAAACAGTGTGCAGACACTCGTGTGCAAGTGTTCACTGCCATATCCTGAGCGTTGTGCAGTGAGTCCTGCACCTTGCAGTTTAAGCTGTGATGTGTTTCAACTGGGTGGTTTTAACAGTGAGGTGAGAAGTGTTACTGCTGGCACCGCTCGTTGTGGGGTGTATTGCTGGGGAGCAGGGATACTCAGCTTTGGGGATAGATGCTGGGACTCAGCAGTGCTTTATTGGGTGTTACATCAAGCTCCCATGCAGCAAAGAGCTTCCCTTCCTACTGAGAACAAGGTCTCAGAGGAGCCCCCAGCTCTCCATCCTAATCTGTGTTCTCCCTGGGCTTTGTTCAGCATTCCTGGTGTTACTCTGATCCCCACCTCATGTTTTTCTTTCTGTCCTACTGCTCTTCTTCTAGAAAAGTCTGGAAATCTCTTTGAAATCAACATTTTCCTATAAAAACACCCTTCTTTTTCCAGAAATCACTGTAGAATCACAGAATGGCTCAGGTTGGAGGAGCCCTCAGAGCTCACCATGTTCCAGCCCCCTGCTCAGGGAGTGCAGCCAGCTGCTAGACCAAGCACTGGATCAAAGCAGCACATACCTTGCTGCAAATGCTCTCATCAAGAATTTAGACCAGCAGCACTGTCAGTGTATTCCAACAGAGCAGGAGTGAGCAGCTGGGCCTTTGTCTCACCCGTTTTCTCTTTCTGCCTGCACAGGGTGGCTGCTCTGGGCCTGGCTTCAGGCATTCTCCTGGTCCTGCTGCTCTTCTGCCTCTACCGACTGTTGTGCCCCAAGAACTACGGGCAGAACGGGCTGTCGCACAGCAGGAGGAGGAGGGGGGACCTGCCCTGTGATGACTATGGTTACTCCCCACCCGAGACTGAAATCGTCCCCCTGGTCCTCAGGGGTCACCTCATGGTGCGTTAGCTGGGTGGTTGTCAGCACAAAGGCATCTTTTAATCTCTGTGGCGTGCTGGAACTGCAGCCTTGCTGGGGGACAGGCCTTGCTGTGATGCAGCCTTGGGGGCTGACAGCAGGGGGTGAATTTTGTACAGGGAAATCAGGGCGAGTTTTTTTGCCATCGCTGTTATTCCATCCCTTTGTATGAAGCTGCTGACTGATGGGCTGTGCTGATCCAGCCTTCCTTGCTGGGGCAGCTGTGGATCCCCAATATGTAATGCCTACTGAATCGTTCTTCTAAATGCTAGTGCGTAGGTGTGAGCTGTTAAATATTGTTTCCAATGCTAAAACCACCCTTGAGCATGCCCAGAATGGTGCTGCTGCTCAGCTCACTCATGTTCCTTGGTGGAAGAGCTTTTTCTTCCACTGTGAGATAAAACAAAGCTCTGAGGCACCCATCCAGATCGAGTCCCATGGAGACACTGCTGAGTGACTCTGTCCTGCAGAGCCCAATGTGTTGCCTCTGTTTTCACCATCCCTGCATCTCCTGTCCGTGCTGTGCTCACACTGGGTTGTGTGGCTGCAGACATGACTGATCCTACCATCTTTTTGGGCTGTACTTTGTCAGGGGAAGGCAGATGGAGTCTGCTTTGCTTGTAGCAGTCTGTGGTGCACAGCTGGGACTTGGAACAAAGTGTGTTTTCCTTCGAACACCCACAGGCTGCTAAGCCAGCCGTGGGGTTTGGACATGAGATGTATCCTCTGCATGGTTTCTTGATCACACACAGAGTGACTGTGAGAGCCCAGAGGCCCTGCTGGTGCCACGTGCTGAGCTGTGCTCCTTCTCCCTTCGCAGGACATTGAATGCCTGGCTAGTGATGGGATGCTGCTCGTCAGCTGCTGCCTGGTGGGGCAGATCCGTGTGTGGGATGCTCAGACTGGAGACTGCCTCACTGTCATCCCCAAACCCAGGTGAGTGGCTCTGAACCAGCTGCACACATCAGGCTGCTGCAGACCTCTGTGCCAGGAGGCAGCAGTCACTGCCCTCAGTGCAGCCCTGTCACAGAATCATAGAATCACAAGGTTGGAAACTACCTATAAGACCATCTAGTCCGACCTCATCACCCAGCCCTGCTCCCTGCCATCACTGTGCTGGTGATTTGTGTCTCTGTGGAGGGCAGGCTTACTGCCTCGGCGTTCCTATCCACCCAGCCCCTCTGAGGCAATGAAAACAGAAGAGCTGACCCTTTTACCACCATCTTTCAGGTTACGAAGAGACAGCAGTGGCATTTTTGACTACCAGGAAAGCTGGGATCACAGCCCGGATGGCAAAAACGGTCTGGATGACTCTTTTGAGGGCAGCCATCAGCTGAAGAGGATGCTGAGCCCTCCCCAGCCCCCCCTCTTCTGCGACCAACCAGACCTCACATCCCTCATCGACACCAACTTCTCGGAGCAGGTGAAGGTGGCTGAGTCAGAGCCGCGGCTCCGCGCCGTGGGGAGAAGCCAGAAGGAGGCCGGCTACGATTTCAGCAGCCTGGTTGGGAAGGTGTACGAAGAGCACAGCACGTCCAACTGCATCAACTTCAGCAGCCTCTCAGCCCCACACGGGCAGGCTGGGTTCTGTGTGGGGGGCAGCGCTGCTCGATCCCTGGGCTGCGGCAGCGAGGAGGGCGGCTGCGGCGGCCGCAGGAGGAGCCTTGGGGATGAGTCCCTAACGGGGTTTGACAAGTCGGCACCTCTTCCCTGCTGGGGAGGAGACTTTGAGAGCTCTGTCTGGAGCCTGGATCTGCAGGGGAACCTCATCGTGGCTGGCCGCAGTAACGGCAAGCTGGAGGTAAGCAGGGCGGGTGAGCAGCGCTGGGCAGGGCTGGGCCAGAACCCCCAGCAGCAGGCAGGGCTATGGGATGGGGCAGAAATCTGCCCTGAAAATGTCAGTGCTTCGGTTCAGTTCTGTTGTATAACGGGGCAGGAGTTGCGGTGTGGTGTCTGCTGTCACCCAGAGCAACTTGGAAAGAGCTTCTCCTTCGTCGGTGCATGGCTTTATTCCTCAGTCTTCAGTGTAAGGAAAATAAATGCTTCATGTAGTACGAGGTAAAGCAGTGCTCTTGGAGACTGGGGAAGCTTTGAGGCTGCTGTGCCACTGGGTAATGGCATAAAGGAGGATGGGAAGGGGCTCTGTAGGAAGATTGCTGGCTTAGAAGCAAGCTTGAATTGGAAATTTAAATCTCTAACTTCCAGAATTGGTTTAATCTGAATCTAATTTTTGGTAAGTAAGCTAGATTTTTCCTTCAAATAAACGCAGCAAATGTTCTTTTAATGCACTTCTGAGCTCGGGTTCCTTTCTGAGCTGCTGCCATGAGCTCAGTGCAGGATGAACGTGTAGCACACCAGCATTCGTTGTGACCCCAGTAAGAAAGGCACCCATTGATCACAGATTAAAACATCATTTATTAGAAGTAATGCTAGAAGGAAGAAGAGGACAGTGTGACCTTGCATCCCTCTGCTCACTGGGATCCCCACGCTGTGCTGCAGGGGGCAGGTTGCTGCTCACACAGCACGCCCAGTCGTGTCCGTGAAGGCTTTGTGTCTGTAGGATCCCTGGGAGATCAAACTGCTGGGTGATGATGCTGGGCTCAGCATCACAGCACAAAACCTTTCTCCTTCCAGGTGTGGGATGCTATCGAGGGCACCCTGCGCAGCAGTAATGAGGAAAGTCAGTCTGGCATCACAGCCCTCGTGTTCCTGAACAACAGGTAACCTGCGCTCATGTTTGCTGGTCCCTATAGATGAGGAGGATGTGGAGGGTGAGCCCAGACCCCAGTGTGACCCTCATGCAGGGCACACAGCCCCAGCCTGCCAGGCTCCCTGCGAGGTGTTTGCTCCCTGCTTCCGCTCAGTCCCAGAGGTCACTCTTTCACACTCAAGCTTTCTAGTAATGGAGTATCCAGAGTAATTCTGACAGCTGTGTCTTTGGGTGCCACTTTCTGCTCAGACCTGAAGCATTTCCGTCTGCTGCTGGTTGATGCAGTTTCCAAGCACGAGGAGCTGGCACAGTTCGTGCTCTGCCTGGGGAGGTTCACCTCGGGGCTGTCACCCCTGGAGAGCAGGGAGCCCTGTGCTCATGGAGCTCATTTCTCCCCCAGGATCGTTGCTGCTCGGCTGAATGGCTCCTTGGATTTCTTCTCGCTGGAAACACACACATCCTTGAGCCACCTGCAGTTTCGAGGTGAGCAGGCATCATCTCACAGCCCCTTCCTGAGCCTTTGCATCAGTGCTTCGTTCCAAAAGCGCTGCAGGATGCCACATGTGATACTGAGCAGAAGGAGGCCAAAATTCTTTGGGAATTCTTTGAGGAGGGAAAGCATTCTGAGCACTGCACAGCATCACAGCATGGTTGGGTTGGAAGGGACCTCAAGGATCACGAAGCTCCAACCCCCCACCAATGCAGGGCCACCAACCTCCCCATTGCACAGCAGCCCAGGCTGCCCAGGGCCCCATCCAACCTGGCCTCCAACACCTCCAGGGATGGACGGGGCATCACAGCCTCTCTGGGCAGCTGTTCCAGCCCCTCCCCGCTCTCACAGCACACAACTTCCCCTCACATCCAACCTCCAGCTGCCCTCCCTCAGCTCCAAACCATTTCCCTCGTCCTGCTGCCATCTCCCCTTGCACAGAGCTGACTCCCCTCCTGGCTGCAGGCTCCCTTTAGGTACTGTTCTCCAGTGCCTGAGTCTGAAGAGTGGAGCTGTGCTTTAGGGTCAGCTCTGCCCTGCACCTCTTTCCTCTCCCAGCTCTCAGTTACTCCTTCAGCAAGGTCTGCTCCAGGCACTGGCTCCCCGCATGGCACTGCTGTGACACACAGGAGTTGAAATACCACTGGTGGTATCTGTTCTGCACTGTGGTGGCTCGTTTGCTTCTGGGATAGCTTGGAATGGAGAGAAGCCATTGCAGGGGGATGGTTTCACTCCCTGGGGTCTGCATGCTGTGGGAAGGAGGAGCAGGCTCTGTGGGAAAGGCCTGGCCATGGAAATGCTGTTTCCCTGCAGGGTGCACAGCTGTGTGCTCTCTTTCACAAGGACAGCCACAGTGCTCTTCAGTGTCACCCTTCTCAGACTTGCCAAGGACTGACTGTGGAAGGACTGCTGATTTGCTCAGCTCTTTGGTCCTCAGGCTCACACTGGGTTCAGCCCCAGGCATCCTCGTTGTGCCCCTCTGGCTGAGATCACACGCAGAGCTGCAGTGAGGACTTACTGTGCTCTCTCACTGCAGGAGCCCCGAGCAGGAGCAGCATCCCATCCTCCCCAGTGTTCAGCAGCAGCGATGTCATCGTGTGCCAGCTCACCCACACCGTCTCCTGCGCCCACCAGAAACCCATCACAGCACTGAAGGCTGCAGCAGGACGGCTGGTCACGGGCAGTCAGGACCACACTTTGAGGGTGAGCAGCCTCTTGGGTGTGTGTGAGCTCCATTCGTGCACAGTGGGGGCGATGCTGGCGCGTGTGTGTGTGCAGGAAGGTGTGCAGGAAGGCAGGGCGTGCCTGGGTGGTGTGGTTGGTGCAGTGCAGTGCAGGGCAATGCATTCCTGAAGTTGTGCTCATCTGCATGGTGGGGGCTCCTAGAATGGCAAAGCTCTGTGTAAGGTATCTTAGTGAACAGAGCATGAGATCATGGAGTCACAGAACTGCAGGAGAACTTGGAAGGGATGTCTGGAGATCCCCCAAACTCCAACCCCCCCCCCCCCAAAGCAGGTTCCCTGCCGTAAGCTGTATGAAAAAGCATCCAGGTGGGTTTGAATATCTTCAGAGAAGGAGATTCCCCACCTCTATGGGCTCTGTTCCAAGGCTTTGCTCCCCTTACGGGAAAGGTGCTCCTCATGTTCAGATGGAACTTTCTGTGTTCCAGTCTGTGCCTGCTGCCCCGTGTCCTGGCATTGGGCAGCACCAAACAGAGCCCAGCCCCTCCATTCAGATCCCATCAGCCCTGCTCAGATCTCCTCAGCACTGCTCAGATCCCCACCAGCAGTGCTCAGATGCCATCAGCCCTGCTCAGATCCCATCAGCCCTGCTCAGATCTCAGCACTGCTCAGATCCCCACCAGCCCTGCTCAGATCCCATCAGCACTGCTCAGATCCCATCAGCCCTGCTCAGATCTCACCAGCCCTACTCAGATCCCATCAGCACTGCTCAGATCCCATCAGCACTGCTCAGATCCCATCAGCCCTGCTCAGATCTCACCAGCCCTACTCAGATCCCATCAGCACTGCTCAGATCCCACCAGCCCTGCTCAGATCCCACCAGCCCTGCTCAGATCCCATCAGCACTGCTCAGATCCCCACCAGCCCTGCTCAGATCCCATCAGCAGTGCTCAGATCCCTCAGCCTTCTCTCCACCATGCACACAGCCCAGGCTCTCATCCTGCCCCATCAGGAGGTGCTCCAGGCCCCACCACCCCACAGCTGGGCTCTCTGCAGCAGTTCCCATCTCCTGGAGCCGGGCGGCCCCGCACTGCAGCGCTCCTGATGCGCCCCCCAGGGCAGAGCAGAGGGGAGGAGCGGCTCCCTGCCCTGCTGGCTGTGCTCTGTGCAGTGCATCGCAGGGTGCTGGGGGCCTCCTTGGCTACCAGGGCACGCTGCTGGCTTTGGTCAACCATTGGTCAACTGTTAGTCCACCAGGACCCCCAGAACTCTCTGCAGAACTCCTCCCCAGCAGCTCACTGGGTTCCTTGGTGCCCAGCTCTCAAGCTGTGCAGCTCCTCCTGTGTAGCAGCATCACAGCCTTTTGATATGGGAGACCCTCCTGCCTCTGGGCTGGGTGATTTCTGGGACAGTGTCTGGGTTGGGGGGTGTCTCCATTCTCACCTGACCCTTCCCTGTGCCCTGCAGCCGCTCACCTCTGCCCCTCGTGCCCCACAGGTGTTCCGCCTGGAGGATTCCTGCTGCCTGTTCACACTGCAGGGCCACTCGGGAGCAATCACTGCTGTGTACATTGATCAGGTGAGCTCAGCCGGGGTGGGAACCAGGAGAGCATCCCTTACGATGGCTGCTGAGCCAGAGGGGCCGTGCTGCGTGTGGAGAAGTTGGCGTGTGCTCCTCTGAGATAGCAGAGGGTGCGACCCCTGCTGCGGGTTTGCTCTCTGTCCCTTGGGAAGAGGAATGAGAGCAGGGAGTCCTGGGTGGTCCGGGTGGCTCCGCTGCTCTGCTCTGCGCTTCCTGACCCGGCTCTGCCCCTCACAGACGATGGTGCTGGCGAGTGGAGGGCAGGATGGGGCCATCTGCCTGTGGGATGTGCTGACGGGCAGCAAGGTGAGCCACATGTATGCGCACCGCGGGGACGTCACCTCCCTCACCTGCACCACGTCCTGCGTCATCAGCAGCGGCCTGGATGACGTGATCAGCATCTGGGACCGCAGCTCGGGGATCAAACTCTACTCCATCCAGCAGGTTGGTGGCAGTGGGGGGAAGGAGGGAGGCTGGAGGGTTCCCCAGCAAACCCCACAGAGTGTGTGGATGTGTGGGCTGAGGGGGAACAGCTGGTGTACAAGGGTGGATGGTGATAGGACAAAGGGAATGGTTTTAAAGTGAGACGGGAGGTTTAGGTTGGATATGAGGAGGAAGTTTTTGAGCCAGAGGGCGGTGAGGCACTGGCACAGGTTGCCCAAGGAGGCTGTGGATGCCCCATCCCTGCAGGCATTCCAGGCCAGGCTGGATGTGGCTCTGGGCAGCCTGGGCTGCTGGTTGGTGACCTGCACACAGCAGGGGTTGGAGCTGGATGAGCATCGTGCTCCTTTGCAACCCAGGCCGTTCTGTGATTCTATGATACGATTCAACTCCAGCCCCACTCCTGGCACAGTGCTGGGGCTGAGCCTCTTCTTCACTTCCATGCAGGAAATGGGCTGCGGCTCCAGCCTGGGCGTCATCTCCGACAACCTGCTGGTGACGGGCGGGCAGGGCTGCGTCTCCTTTTGGGACATCGGCTACGGCGATCTGCTGCAGACTGTCTACCTGGGGAAGAGCAACGAGTCGCAGCCCGCGCGGCAGATCCTCGTGCTGGAGAACGCCGCCATCGTCTGCAACTTCGGCAGCGAGCTCAGCTTGGTCTACGTGCCCTCAGTGCTGGAGAAACTGGACTGAGGAGGGACGGGTGCTGCAGGCCGGGCGGTGAGCGCAGGGTGGATGCGGCGATGGGACGGACCTGGATGTGCAGCTCTGCAGGGCTCTGCTGGCTCTGCTCCGTGTGAACTGCTGTGTCGGCTGCCAGGCTGCAGGCACCGAGCCCTGCGGCCTCCCCGCGTTTCCTGCGCTGCTCCTGGGCTGCATGGGGTGGTCAGAGGTTGGTGTGCGTGCTGCTGAGGCAGCGTGCTGGAGGCACTGTGCTCCGCTCCAGCACCCTGCATGGGACAGGAGCTGCAGGGCCGCTGGCTGCAGCAGGAAATGCAGCTGGGGCGTGTTGAGGTGGTTCCTTGAGGCGGGCAGCTGGTGAGGAGACCGAATGAAAGCAGTGAGTGTGGAAGCGTGGAGCTGGGGGGCTCAGGTGCCTGCCTTGCTGCAGCATGGCCAGGGCCCCATTGCCTGCAGTGCTCCGTGGGGCAGGAGGCCGCTGCACGCAGCGCAGCTCTGTGGCTGTAGGCAGGACGGCTCTGTGCTGAGCGGCTCCACGTGCCTTAGCGCGCAGGCCGGGCCCGGGCAGCCCTGCTGTGTGTGGGTTCTGTGCTGCAGCAGTTCCTGCCCTATTTATTTATATGCTGTATATATTTATTTATTCTGGCAGGAGAGTGTGGGAGCTGCCCCGGGCCCCATCTGCAGCAGTAGCACCTTCCTCCTCCTTCTCCTTGGACTGGGGGAGAGGGGCCCAGGGCGCACGTTCTGCTCCAAGGGTGCGGGGCCGTTCCCCAGCAGTTCCTAATGCTCTTTTTGCTCAAGTAAACGACGCTGTTGTCTGTTCCTCAAACCCCACTGATTGTAGGGGCAGCGCTGCAGCCCGGGAGCAGCTGCAGGGGAGGAGGAGGAGGAGGAGGAGGACAGCCCTAGCCCCGGCCCCGGCGCCCGCCCCGCACCTCGGGTGGCCTTAGCGCTGCTGTACGCTTTGTGCTGTACAGTGGGAGCATTTTTGTACCGGATCGTGTTTTATATGTGTACAGACACCTCCATTAAACACAACTAACCCGAGTGTGGCTGCTGCAAGTGCCGACCCATCTTCCCCTCGCTCAGCCCCACGGCTGCGGCCAAAGCCGGAGTGGGAGAAGCGCTTCAGTGCCAGATCAAACTCTCTTTATTTTAGTAGCAAAGAGCTGAAAAAGTCAGTTCTGCTCAGAGTGAAAGGCCGCGCTGAGCGCCCGTGTGACGCTGCACAAAGCAGAGGGTGGGGGGAGGCCGTGCCCCACCGGGCCCCACAGAGCTGGGGGCTGTAGTGCTGCTGCGGGAGGGGGGGCTGAGCCACCCCTCAGCTCTTGTTGAGTGTCCAGAGGGGGTCGAGCATGCTGAGCGGGTCATCGCTGGGCCGGGGTGCCCGCAGCCCTTCTCCCGTCTGCGCCTGCAGGAAGTTCTGTTTGTTCATGCGCTGTTTGCCCTTCAGCGACGCGTCCAACGTGAAAGCCTCGGGAGTGAGCGAGGCGAGGAGCTCCAGGGAGGAGGTGGGCGCCGGGGGGGCAGCGGGGGTTGGCGGGGGGATCTCCTCCACGTGGTTGCTACTCTCGGTGTCACCCGGCGGCTCTGGCACCGGCTCAGGGTTGGGGGCGCAGACACCATCCACCGCCGTCCCTCCGTCCGTCCCCGTCCCTCCGTCCGTCACAGCATCAGGCAGCACGGGCACAGGCACAGCCTCCACGGCGGCAGCGTTGGGCACAGGGGCGACTTCCGGCCCCCAGCACCCCCCTCCCTCCCCCCCGCCCGGCGGTTTGATGCTCAGCTTGGCGATGGTGGCCTGGATGGAGCTGATGGGCACATCGCCACCCAGCACCAGATCCTGCGGGTCCTGCTGGAAGTAGAGCTGCGGGAGAAGCTCCGTCACCCCCCACGCTGTGCCACCCCCACCGCCCCCCCCCCCTAAAGCCCCCACACCCACCTTTGGGGACGCGCTGTTGGCTTTGGGGACGGCCGGAGCGCCCACCCCGTGGCGGTGCAGCAGCTGCTCGGCGTGCTGCAGGACGGCCTCGTAGCAGAACTTGAGGTGCAGCTGCAAGAGGAAGGTGGGAGCACGGTGAGCACAGCACCGGGATACGACTCCCCCCCTCCGCCCCCAGCCCAGGGCCCCCCGGTACCTTTTCCTGCAGCATGTGCTTGCGCTGCTGCCGCATGCGTCTCACCAGCTGCGCCAGCTCAGGGATGCCGTTCCCCGCCTCCACCTCCTGCACGGCAGCGTACAGCAGGCAAAACGCGCCGGTGCGGCCCACGCCGGAACTGCGGGGATACGGAGATGCGGCCGGAGGGCACAAAACCGGCACGGCACCAAAGAGATTCCCTGCCGGGCCGGCCCCCCCCCGCTCCGAACCTCTCACCAAGCCGAGCCCGCAGCGCCGCTCACCTGCAGTGCACGACGATGGGGGTGTGCAGCGGGCGCTGGTGCAGGTAGTGGCCGTGCACGTCCTGGATGAAGCGCAGCAGGCTCGCCTTGCTGTCGGGCAGACCCCTGCGGGGAAAGGACGCTCAGTGCGCGCTGGGGACCCCAATTCAACCCTCACCCACCCCCCGGTCAGGGCTGCCCCACGCAGTCTCTCTCCCCACGCTGGAGCTGCACCGGTGGGGAAGGAGCAGCTCCCTCCCTGCTACAAAGCGCCCCCCATTCCCCCCTCCGTCCTCCTTCATCCCCTTCCCCCCGGCCCCCCGAAGCCCTTTTTGCCGTACAGCTCCGGCCAGGAGGTGAACTGCAGATGGATGACGGTGCGCTTCAGGCTCTGATCGCGATACTGCAGCGTTATCATCCGCTCCACGTGGGTCGGGGCCGCCTTCACGCTGCTGAGGACGAGAGTGATGGGACCCTGCACCACCGGCTGGCCCCGCTCCGTCGGGAAATACCGCAGCACTTTTTGCTTTAGGGATGAGACGGGGAAAAGGGTCAGCAGTGCCTCGAGATCACCCCCCGTCCGCGTACCGAGCAGTGCAGGGACAGCCCTCCACTCCCCCATGGAGCAGCCCTACCTTCTCCAGCTCCTGCTCCGACACCAGCATGACAACCACGGACACTTTCTGCTCGTAGATCATGAGCCAAAAGTCGGCGGCGGTGCCGAGCAGCGGCGCCTGCGTGGCGATGATGGTCGGGCAGTACGGGGACAGATCCTCCACCCTGCTGGCGTTGATGTAGTCGTCTTTGCCCGAGCGGAGAACCACGCGGTTCCTGTCGTAGGGCATGATGTCCTGGTGTCGGTTCTTCATGGAATAGCAGCGGGCGATGGCGATGGAGAGCTGTCGGGCGTCGCGCTCCTGGGCGTCCTGCAGCTCCTTCCAGAGCGCGTCCAGCTCCGCGGCGCCGCCGGGCTCCGTCTGCTCCAGGCGCTGCAGCAGCGCTCGGAAGCGCTCCAGCTCAGCCCGCAGCCGTAAAACGCGCTCGGGTTTCTCGTAGGGATCGTTCTCGATCAGCTGCACCGCTTTGGGCTTCTGACCCTCCTTGGCGTCCGCCTTGGTGGGCTGCAATAGGGGTTGCCCCACGGCCGCCTTGGAGCCGCCGTGTTGGCTCTCGGGGCTGGAGGACAGGAGGTCGTCGGTGGAGGAGCTCTGGCGCTGGAAGGCGGTCTCGGCTGTGCCCGGCGCGGGGGTCAGCGACGGCGGGGGTCTGTGAGGCACCGCGCCGGGCACCAACGGCGGGGGCTGCACGGGAGGCTGCGGGGATGGGGCCGGGGAAGGGACGAGAGGGCACGGCACCACCACGGGGCCTTGAACCTGGCTGAGGACGGGGCCTGGAGATGGGGCGGGGGAGGGCTGCGGGGGCCTCAGGGGGGCGGCGGGGTGGCACGGAGCGGGGCTGGGACAGAAGGGTAGAGCCGGAGAAGCGCCGGGCACGGGCTGCAGAGCGCCGTGCATGGGCTGCGCCATAGGGCCGCTCTGACCGGGGGGTCCGGGCACCGACGTGCCGAACGGGAGGGACCCGCCGAGCGGGGGGAGCCCGGGGGGCGGCAGTTTGTCCTGCCCGGGGGGCATCGGGTAGAGCTGGGGCCGCAGCGGGGGCTGCCCGGGAGGCAGCTGTCCTACGGGGCCGGAGAAGGGCTGCTGGGCAAAGGGGCCTTGGGGAGGCAAAGGGGGCCGGGCCGGGGGCTGGAAGGGCAGCGAGACCTGCGGGCGGGCCGGGGGGAGGAAGGGAGCGGCTGCTGCGGGAGGGAACGGCTGCGGGGCAGCGACGGCCGGGGGGCGAACCGGGAGGTCCGCGGGGGGAGGGAAGGCGGCGGGGGGCTGCGCCGGAGGGAACGGAGCCGAGTGGCCGAAGGGCGGCTGCAGCCCCGCCTGGGCATAGGGGGGGAAGGAGGCGGCGGGGCCGCCCGGGCGCTGCGGGGCCACGAAGCCCCCCCCGGGGGGCACCGCTGGCCCCGGGAGCCGCGGAGGGGCCGCACAGCTGGAGATGGGCGCCTGCACGCTGTCTACGGTGGTGGTGGCCGGGCGCGCGGGCGGGTTTTGCTCGGGGACGGCCACCGGGGTCGGACCCACGACCGGGGGTCTGACGGGGCCGGGCGGCGGCAGCCCCGGTTGGCCAAGGCCGTAGGAAGCAGCAGGAGCCGCGGCGGGGCCGTGCTGCGGGGAGGAGCGCGGGGGAAGCAGGCGGGGCACCGCGTAACCGGGTTGCGCCAACGGCGGCCCGGGCTGCACCGCACCCCGCAGCAGGGAAGCGGCGGGGAAAAGCTGAGGGGCAGAGGAAGGGGCCGAACTGGGGGGCGGCCCGCTCACCTGGGGGGCGGAGGGCTGCAGGAGCTGCGCCGGCACTACCGGAGCTCCGGAGACGTGGGGAAAGGGAGCCGGGCCGGCAGCGGGCGCCGGCGGCAGCCCGTAATGCCCGGGGAGGGCGGGGAAGCGCGGCGGGGCGAAGGGCTGGCCGGGCTGCAGCGGTGCGCTCGCCAGCCTGGGGGCGAAGAGGTCGGGGCCGGGGGGCCGCAGCCCCGCAGGCAGAGCGGGATCGAGGGCGAGCGCGGCCAGCGTGGAGGGCGGCAGGCGGGCGAGATGCGCGGCCAGGACGTCGGGGGGGAGGCTGCGCAGGTCCTCGGGCAAGTCGGCCAAGGCCAGGGAGGCCAGCGGGGGGAGGTCGCCCACCTCTGGCCCCTCGGCTTCCAGCTCCAATGACTTCTTCTGCAGGGAGGGTTTGGGGGCTGTGGGACGAGGGGGTGGGTGCTTCTTCATTTCCCTGCCAGGGGGGAGTAGGGATTAACGTGGGCAGCTCACCCTGAGCCTCCCCCATCTCCACCCAGCAGGGTGCTGACGCTGCCCCGTGGGGTGAGGAGAGTTCACAGGGCTGTGGCACCAAAGCCAGAGCCTCCACCCCGCAGCCAACCGTGCTTCTCTCCCTCCCTGGCTGTCCCACTGCATTCCCTCCAGCCCCAGCACCACCTACTTCTCCAAGATCTGCTGCCTGTTGGCTTCAGCAGCCTGGCAGGCTGCCCGTGCCTTCTCCAGCAGCTTGGCAGCTTTCCCCTCCAGGTCGGTGTAGAAGTCCTTCCCCTCCTGAGATTTCTTCATCAGGTCCTCGTAGGCTTCGTAGGAGGCCACCAAGGTCTGAACAGTGGTGTTCCACCTGGGGATGTGGCACAGAGGTGTGTGCATGCATACAGAGAACTGGGCTGCCCTCATGTTCCCCTGCCCCTGGGTAGCCCCACTGTGCAGTATCAGCAGTCACCAGAGCCCCCAGCCCCACAGGCAGCCCGTTTGGAGTGTGTCAAGGCTGTTTCCATACACCAAGACCCACATCATCCCATGCCCCCACTCACTTGTGCTCGACCTCGGCCAGGGCCTTGCGCACAGCTGCATATTTGACATTGGCATCCGTCAGGGCCTTCAGGATGTTCTCCTGAGCAGCCAGATTCTGCTCCAAGTATACCTTGATCTGGTCATACTTCTTCAGCTGCTCCTCAAAGAGTTTCTGCCCAAACAGGGAAGGATCTGAGGGGCCAGTAGGCACACTGCCTCCCAAGGGGCTCAAGGCTGGGATGGAGCAGAGCTCTCACTGCGGCCCATACTGGGGTACGTGGCACAAG